ATTTCAGAACAAGCGGAATCATCTAAATTTTACAGGATTTCATTCTTGTATATATGGTCTCAAGAGGATTCCTCTAAGGTTAAGAGAGAATTTAAGAGAAAAATATTATAAACACATTATTCTTAAATTATATGTTAAATTATATGTTACACGCATAATACAAATCTTATTGATTTTAATATAAATTTTCTCTTATACACAGATTATTTAATCTTTTTTTAAAAGGATTATTATTTATTCTTTTTGTACTTTATTCTTACTGGTTATATTAGTTAATTTGAGAAAACTTATAATGTATAGCAAAAAGTAATTCCGACATTCAAATCAACATATTCCTCTTCATATAAGAAGAAAATTAATGGGTATAAGAGGAAATCTTCTTGAAATAAGGGGAAAACAGTTGGGATAATATCTAATAAATCTTAGATGACACTTTAATGTTCACTTTAATCGCTTTATCGAAAGAGGTATCTTCTTTTCTGTAAAAGGCTTTGCTTAGAATACAAGACTATGGAAAAAATCACTTTACAAATAGAATACTTTTTTTTTGGGATAGCATAGAATATACTTTTCTCCGCACGACTCAAGCAGCTCGATATCGATCGCGAAATTCGGCCGTTCGCAGACGCTATATTTCGCGTGTTGGAAGAGAGCCGTCGGCGTCGAGGCGATTGCCAACGGCTTTTGCTGAAATATTTCACGATCGCGCACGATATCGATCGCGAAATGCCGGTCGAGTCGAGTCGAGCGCGAAGCTGCAGTCGCGTGACTCTTTCGCGACTTGCATCGAACGAGCTCGGCTCATCGAGTATGACCGAAATAGCTTATAATCCTACCTAATGGCCGCTAATAGGACGAACTCGCTCGGTTCGGCCCGGCACGCGTCGAGTTTCCGCGAGGGAGGGACTTCGCTGTCGTTGCCGAGCTTTTCTCAATGACGGCTGACGCACCGCCGCCGGCGGCCAGCCGAAGCGGCATCGTTATTCCCGTCCCGGGTGCGACTCACCCGGAGTGCAGGAGAACGGTCAGCCGAGATTCACGAGGTCGCGACGAACACGCACCGTCCGCAGGACGATCCTAGGCGAGACTAATGGCGAGAAACGACGCGCAATGGCCGATTTATCGAGTTAATCGATCGAACGCGCGGCAACGATTATTCTGGACGCAAACGCTTGTATACATTTTTAATACTAAATTCCATCTTTCTCATGAGCGTCTCATGATAACATTGTCTCGGCTTGATTGAGAATCAGAGAAAGGCAGATTAGCATTCGCCGCGGCTCACAGTGTTGCGAAACCTCCAGATAGTGGTCATAAATCAATTGTCGCTATAATGTACTGTAGTTGAATGAAAAGCATACTATGTTGTAAATACTAGTACTTTATCACTAAAATAACGTTTTCTAATTTTATTATTTTATTTTTTACTTTTTTGGTTTTTTTATTTTTTGGTTTCTTATTTCCTTTCTTAGTTTTTATCTTCTGCCTTTTACTTCATATAACTATTAACTAAACAAAATATTTAATATAACTATTCATCGTCCGAAACTATATTTGCTACAACTGGATTTGCAAGCAATTCAATAACTTCTTTAGGGAAGGGGTCGGCTTTTTTTATCTGAAACCTTTTTTAAAGACAAAATGATGGGATCTGAGGAAAGAAGAAGGCTTTTAAATAAATCTTCATTCGTCGTAATTCTCGAGTTTTTTCTTGTTAACATTAGCAAAATTAACTAGAATAAAGAATTTTGATAGAGGATATAATTTTTGTGTTGAACAATATTACCTGCAGTAGACAGCGTCTGACCGTAAGCGCACTGAATGTCAAACTCTGTTCATAAAATTTATCATATTTTTGTAAGCGCTGGATATCGCTCTTTCTACCTTTGCACAAGGATTAATAGATATTTTATCTTTATTTTCACAAAGTTACAACACGGTGCGAAATGATGCATTTTTTATATATCACGATTGAAGTGATTAACTGTATAAAAAGTGAGTCCCGTAAATCTAATTCTTATTGTATATACTTATAACTTTCTAATATACTCTTTATTGGAAATAAAACTACACAAATGAGATATTAGACAGGGAACATCATTTTCATGATAAAAAATTGCTTCAACGCAAAATCAGTTGTACCATTTGGAGGGTTATAACCCAGCTATTCTGTACTTCGCATCACGTGTGTACATTTGAATTCACTTATCTTCGTGATACAATTGGATTTCATCAAAATGTTACTACAACTTATTAATTTGGACCTTTTAGAAAATATATTGAAAATGGGAGCCGAAAATCTCGCTTTTTATTTTTTCCTATTTTGGCCACGTTTAGCGATTTCTGCAACACTGTGCGGCTCAAGGTTATGTTTCGTCCACCGCGATACGAGAAGCGATATCGGCTCAAGGTATCGTTGGCTGCGTTCAGTAGAACAAAATGATCAGTGAGCGCTTAGTGATTATTGTCTGTGATTGGAACATTCTTTTAGATTCTTCATAGATCCAGAAGTATTTACCAATCAGGAGCGAGAATCACTAAGCGCTCACTGATTACTTTGTTCTGCTGAACGCAGCCAATGGATGCCTTCCTCACGAAGCTTAACAGTTGCACAACAGTTGAGCATGCGATGAGTGAGCGATGAGTGAGCAAATGTACACTGAACGCAACTGATCATAGTTTTGCTCAGTTTTGTTCTGCGCGGAAAAAATGTCAGATAAACGTACGAAATATTACGGCCTGTTTACACGCTCATGTGTCTTGCAATTATTAAGTATTTTTATAAATATAATTCATATGTGTCTGTTACAATGTATTCTACCATCCTTGACCCTGTCTGCACAGACGTGACAAGAACGTCGCTATGACGTCATTATATACGTTGTAGCGACATGCTTGCCACGTACGGTGCAGTCAGGGTATATTCCCCGTTATATATATTTGGATTTATATAACCATTTTCTTTGTTATTTTCTTTATTCATGGGCTGCGCCATGTTAGATCGGAGACTGATCAGTAAAGGTAGCGACGAATATTTATGATCAGAAAAATGGCGACCGCTCACTCGACATGTTGCGAGTGAGCACATCTCGAGCTTAGTAGCGTTCAGTACCGCGATTCTGTAACTCGTTATTGGAGTTAACGACACTTTCGTTATCGTTGCGCAGCTTTTGTATACCGTAGAAAAGCTGCGCAACAATAACGAAACTGTCGTTAACTCCAATAACGAGTTACAGAATCGCAGCACAGAGGCCCTATTCTTGCATGTACATAAGTGGCAAGTTTCGACTAATCGCAGTGAAAAATTCCCAGAACCGTATTCTTGACAGTCGCAAGTGAAACGTATACGCAAATTACCATTCGCAATGCAACGAATGGGTAATACCATCCGTTTCTCTCGAAACGTATATGATACGTTATGCAAAGTACAGAAAGTGGAGTATAAGAGTACACACAGAAGCACACTGTTATTAAGAAGAAGAAGACTTGGACACTAAGACGGCTAAAAGAGTGGAAAATAATAGCTGACTTTACATATCCGTGAGAGAAATAATAAATAGGAAATTTAAGAGAAAATAGCACATAAATTTCACTGCATTTTTAATTATAGAATAAAACTTTGTAACAATAATGGATTTAGACGATATAATAGTAAACATACCAATTATAAATGCGTTAGAACATGCTGAAATAATGGAAGAACCAAGAAGATTTTTCCATATTAGTTCCACATTTTCCACTTTGTTCTGCTGAACGCAGCCAATTAGCGAAATCACTCAACAGTTGCACAACCGTTGAGTGTCGTGAACTCGCAACCCATTTTGCGATCTCAAGACCGCGCTCAAGACTATTTTACCTGACTGTCTTATTCTCGAAGACCAGAGCCGCCGTGTACGTTCGCGGCGGCGAAATCGATCGAGGGCCATCAACCGATGAATCTCGGCGCGCGAGTCGTTGGGATCATCCTAGGGATGCCGATTTTAAATCGATTTAATCGAAGATTGATTAATCAGAGCCTAAAAGATCGACTTCAAGTCGATTTTCTGAAACTGAATCGGTTCCAGGATCAATCGGTAAATTCTGAAAATCGTCAACACGATTTTTTCAGTTTCTACTAGTAGTAGTAGTTTTTTTTTTTTTAATTTTTTTAGTTGTAACATTTAAACTCACTCAATGGCTGCACAATGCACATTACGTTGCTTTTAGGCCGATGTCCCATGGGCGAAAATTTTCAGCGGAACGGAACGCGCGACCAATCATAGCCACTCCATATAATAGTATACATTGTATACATATATATATACATATAATAGCAAACGTGATTTCTTATTTAAAACATTTATATAAAAAAAAAATTTCTTATTAAGAAACGTCTAAAAACCCTTGATCGATGTTTAATCAAACTAAATCCTTAGCATAAAGATTTAAAGATCTTTCTCTATCTTGTTCTGGCCACACAACACAACCAAAAGAGTATTATCTGTTTAATTTCTTTAATTCATATTAAACTTTATATGACTTACTTTATATGAGGTCTACTTTAGAGAGTAAAAATTTGACAAATAGTGTACTTTTTAATGAGCGGTTCACTCCACATGCATACCGACTCGAATCGATTTTCCGAAATTGATTCCTCACAAACCGATTTTTTAAAGACCGATTCTTTTCTCCGTGATTCGAATCGATCTTTCAATCAATCTGTTTGAAAAAAAAATCGGCATCCTTAGATCATCCAGTGGTGCGATTCTGTAATTCGTTACTGCAGTTAACGACACTTTCGTCATCGTTGCGCAGCTTTTCTACGGTATGCAAAAGCTGCGCGCAACGATGACGAAAGTGTCGTTAACTCCAACAACGAGTTACAGAATCGTACTCGCACCGCAGGTGATCTCGCGCGACGAATATCGCTCGCCCATCGCGTCCGATTGGCCGATCGATGGTCGCGCATGCGCGCCACCAGGCGCGCCGACCACTGATAACGTTGCGTTTCTTGCTTTCAGGCAGTTCGTGGCGAGACACCGAGCGTTCGAAACGCGCGCTGACGCCGCTGGCCGATCACGTGGTACGCCGTCGTATCGACCAGCGGACGGCCGCGGCGGCGATTGGCCCGCTCGGCTCGCGTCTTACGCGCAATATCAGTTCGAGCTGCCGTCTGCTGGCAGTGTCAAGTGGACCTCGTAACGTACGCTCGACGAACAAAGGATTCGCGGAAGCTCTCGCTGCATCTCGCGCTGGTACTGGCGACTCGCGCACGACCCGCGCCTCATCGTTCTCTCCGTGCTCGTCCCGTGCTCGACGCGTCGAAGTCGCCTCGACCCGCTGCGGCGAACAGAGCGCGACAGACACACGCACGTCACGCTGCGACGGGGCTGCGACGCGGTCCTACGGACGCTTTTGACAGCTCGTCGTCGCAGTGACAGCCGCCGCGTCGTGGTGGATCGTCGTTGCGGGGTTTTCTCGCTCGTCGGACCGACAGTCGGAGTGTCATCGACAACCGAGGAGCGACCTGAGAGCGAAGAAGAGGGAGACACCCCGGGGATGGTCGAATAAATCTGCCGAGCATCGAAAGGTCTAGGTTTCCCTGAGCAGCGGTCCCTCGCACTTCTCTCGTATCCTTCTCTCCCCTCTCCCCCTTCTCTCCCTCTCTCCCTCACGCGCGCGCTGCAAGAGAGCCGCGAGCTACGAGAGATATATATTGTGTGTATGTGTGTATATATATATATATATATACACACATCTTTCTCTCGCCGCGCGACCGCGAACTTCGAATACTCCACTGATCGCGTTTCTCCGTTGGTCGAGTTCCGCGGCCAGTAGTGCGCGGGCTTAAGATGTACAGTATGAACTACATCGGCAAGTTCATCAGCAACTTTCGCGACTTCTACAACGAGATCAACGCGGCGACCCTCACCGGTGCGATCGACGTCGTCGTCGTCGAGCAGCCGGATGGCTCCTTCGCGTGTTCGCCCTTCCATGTCCGCTTCGGCAAGCTCGGAGTGCTTCGTTCCAGGGAAAAAGTGGTGAGTCTACGGCGCATTTCGTGGCCATCAGCGAATTCATCCCGCCGGCTGAGCGGAAACGGGGCGCCGATGATGGCGGCGGCGTTTTGAGAAGCTTAGCATCTCAGACGCACGGAGCTGTTCCGTCTTCCTCGTTTTTTCGACGATCTCCGATCGTGCAAAATGTTCTTAACGTCGACGTAATTCGTGACGTAAACGTTGACGTTAAAAATATTTTGAACGATTAAGGAAGGGATTATTTATATCACTATCAATTCGTATTTTTTTTTTTTTTATATCGCGATCCTCTTCTCTAGTCTTATTAAGATACGTCATCTTTTACGTGTCAGTGTCGCTGAGATAAGTGGTTTTCTTTTGATATGCGAAAACACATGTATATGTAAATTCATTTGAAAATATTTTCCATATCTTCCAAGTGTAAACATCAGAGGAGACGCCTGCCTTTTTTGCGTGTTTACTTATGTGTGTAGACATACTTAAAATATGGCTTGTTGAGAGTACAAGAGACGTTTCTCTCTTCATAGGTGGACATTGAGATAAACGGAGAGCCCAGGCAGATTCACATGAAACTTGGCGATTCCGGAGAGGCTTTCTTCGTAGAAGAAGTTGGCTCGGACGGGTCGCCGACTGATCGAGAAATTCCGCCGCATCTAGCCTGCTCACCCATACCGGACGACAACTGTTTCCCACCCCCACGATTCAACCTCCTGTCGGATCTACCTCCGGAACAGAGGGAGAAGATTCTCATAGACTCCGTTCTCTCCATCGAGCGTGAAAAATGGGAGCAAATGTCCGCCTTGCCGCCCGATCAGCGGGAGAAGTTTCTGGTAGAACAGTTTTCAGATCTCCCTGTGGAACATCGCGAGAAATGGCTACAGATCGCGTCGCTGACCGCGGAAGAGCGAGACGAGATGTTCAAGGAGAGTTTCGGCACCATATCAACCCTGCAGAAACAGCAAATGATCAGAGAACAATATTCCGCCTTGAAGACGGAGGACAAGGAGCGACTGTTCAAGGAAAACTTTCCGGAGCTGCCGATCGAGCAGAGACAGAAGTTCGAGAAGGCTCTGCTGAGCGACTGGAAGGAGAAGGAGGAAAAATGGGAAGAGAAGCACGACAAATCCAAGGACGATGACGAGATATTCGACATGGACAACATCAACGATGAAGAACCCAAGGTTACGGTGTCAACGCCCAAATCTTTCGTAGCTGTTACCTCCTCCGAGAGAATTCGGAAGATCAGCGTGGTGAAGAATGATTTTAGACCGATCACCGATGATCCTCAGAGCAGCAGTAAAGAAAAGTCCAGTGACGAGTCGAATCCGTCTGTGAGCAAGAAGAACTCGAAGGAGGAGAATGTCGAAGAGACGAAGAGTAACAGTTCCACTAAGAGGAAGCGCAAGAGGAAGAGCATAATGAAGAAGAAGGGATCACAGAGGAAGACCAGCAACGGCAGCAGCAGCCAGACGGAAATGAGCGAGACTGATGCGGTCGTTACCGAGGAGTTAGTCAACGAAACTGTAAGTAACATATCTTCGCTCCGATGAGCATTGTACGTCTCAATTTTTATAACGTTCGTATTTATATTGAAGATGCTGAAGGGTCCCACTTCAGTCACCGAAGTCGAGATGAAAAGCATCGCGGAAATCACGCCGCCTCCTCAAGATACCATTGAGCAACGCCCGGATACTGACTTTCACTTCTTCAGCGACACGGAAGTGACCAAGTGTGTAATCCGCAAGTGTGGTTCTTTTCTTCTTCTGTGGTGCGCTGTGGTACATATATTTATTGACTCGTTATGCTCTGTCTGTTGGAAAGGAATCAGGAATCCAGGCCATCGTCGCCCGTCCAGTCGGACACGGAATTCGAGATGCGCAAGATCACGCAGGAGGGTAGCGAAATGGAGGACGACAAGAGCCATCAGCAGAGCTGGAGATGGGGTGAACTGCCTAGTCCGCCTCCGGAACCGGCGCATATGTCGCACAGAAACTCGCTGAGCTCCTCAGCAACGGCCAGCCAGCCGAACAACAGTTAGTATATAATAATTTCCTTATCCCATATATCAGTCAGTCAGTCGAGAGACTATAAACGTTCACGATTAACACCACCTTGTACATTTCCAAATGGAAAGCTCCTGTCACTGTCGGATCTCTCTCGTTTACATTTTGAGGCACTAACACGATTCAACACGATTTCGCAATGAGACTGTTAACGTATCGGTATCGTCAGACTCTCGACATCATTTCTCCCCGCGGCAGAGACTAACTCTCCGAGTCGCTTGATCGCTAACTGTTCGCTAACCGCTTTTTCAATGGCAGCAGATGCACACCGATCTATGCTCAGTGGCATGTTCTCCTTTATGAAGAAGACCTCTCGCGTAAGACACAATCCGGAATCCGAGGGAATTTATCTTAGTGATCTTAATGCCGACGAGCTGGATCCCGAAGTTGCGGCACTTTACTTTCCCTCCTCGCATCGAGGCCCGACGGTGGTTAAAGGTATATGGTAACGCTTTCGCTTCAGAGTGTAAATGTATCCTACACTATACACGACCAAGACTAACACTAACGCCATTCTATCCACACTTTTATTATTTTTCTCACCGTACTTACAGAATTGCAGCGTTTTTGCACTCTTGAGGATTGAAATACTCTTAGGTGTTTGTGCGGTCGAGTATTTCATAAGAATTCATCCATTTTATCTCTTGTATGTTTGTGCTTCAAGAACAGAAGGTTACAACTTTCTTCTGTGTTTTTTATATATATATATATATATATATATATATATATATATATAATAACAAATAGAAAAAATGGATAACTAACAAACTCTGCACACATTTATCTTCTGTAAATAAAGTTTGCAATTTCCGTTGTCTTAATTAAAAGTAACTAATTGATGTTGTTTTTGACATAATTTATGTTTTGTGTATACAACTGCAACACGTGCTCGTGTGTGTGTGTACTTACAGATGGGAAAGCCGTGGATGAAGAAGACACAGAGTCAGGTAACGGACCGAGTTTACCGCAAAGCCCCAACAGCGTTGAGGGAGCTATCGGTGGGCCAAAGTCGGTGGATAGTGACTTCGAGGAACCAAAGCACTCAATATTCGATAATACCGTAGAGATAAGTTTGTCCTTGTGCGGTGGTCTGGACACCGAGAACGGACCATCCAAGGAGGCTTTCCATGAAAATTTACTGCAGTTCGAGGACATCTGTACCGATCCAAAATTGTATGAGAACCCAAACCTGGTCGTGAAGATCAACGGAAAATTCTATAACTGGGCTACAGCCTGCCCGATAGTGATGACTTACGCCGTTTTCCAAAGACACTTACCTCAGAGCGCGATCGAGAGTCTGTACACGCAGTATATGCCGTTGCTGGTGCACGAAGACAAGAAACAGCAGAACAACGGCAAGCCCGAGAGCCGTAGCGGTTACAGCTCGTGGTTCTCTTGGAGACGTTCCACGCAACCCACTAAGAAATCGCAGGATATTAGTCAAAGTAAGAAGAATTTCTCTCCATATTAGGATATTGGCAAACTTGCAGATTGCATCTTCTTGTTGTTGTAAAAATATTGAAGCTGTATCTACTTTGAAATTAGAATGCGTTTAAATATCGATTGCCTTCTCTCAGTTTCAATTTCTCATGAAATTATATGGACATTATGTACATGTTTTTGTTTTTCTTTTTTTAATACTTTGTTAATTTTCTCGTAGCTGATGGGATTGCCATGCAGTCCGAACAATCATTGGAAGCCAAGGCTGCGACGAGCGAAGAAGTACCTTCTACTAACAGGTAGGTTCTAATTACTGTTTTACTCTACTGCTTTCGCACTCGGTTCTTTGTATCTTTTGTTAATTCCATCAGTTATATCTTTGTAGAGAAGCAAAGACTGAGCAAACAGTAGGCTCGTCGAATGCGACCGAAGCGATAGAAGCTTGTACGAGATTGACAACCGCAAGTAAGGAAACAGCACTCTCAAAGACTGAGAAGGCGCGCGAAAGAGAAGGCGAAGGCTACAGCGGCAGCGAGGATTCCGACAGCAATCAAAACGAGCCGCCTGGCGTGAAGATGCCCATCGAAAGAAGATCGTATTACGAGTCCACGGAGAAATATCGTAAAACTTTGAGACTCTCATCCGAGCAGATTGTGAGTATCTCCGCATATCTCACATCATTTTACCGAACAGTTTTCACTCTGACTATTTTGTCAAACCCATCTTTATTGCACTTAATGGGGACAAATTATTAATCGAGCAATGACTGTCATTACTTCGTCATTGTTCTTGCAGCATTCGCATACAAATTACCGTAGAAAAACGATGCGAAACGTGTGAGAAGATGGCTTACCATCGAAGACAGAAATTCGTAATCAAACTGTTTGACTAACCCAGCAGTATCGTGTGAAAAAGCACGAAGGGATATAATGAGTTCTCCTTTCTTACTCGATAGGTGAGCCTCGGTCTGAAGGACGGTCCCAACGAAGTGGTGTTCAGCGTCACCACCGCTTACCAGGGTACAACCCGCTGCAAGTGTCACATTTACAAGTGGAAGTGGGATGACAAGATCGTCATCTCCGATATCGACGGCACTATCACGAAATCCGACGTGTTGGGCCACATTCTGCCGATAGTGGGCAAAGACTGGGCACAGTCTGGAGTCGCCCAGCTGTTCACGAAGATAAAAAACAACGGCTACAAGCTTCTATACCTCTCGGCGAGGGCGATCGGCCAGGCTAAGGTTACCAGGGAATACCTGAAGAGCATCAGACAAGGGGATCTGTCGTTACCGGAGGGTCCTTTGCTTTTGAACCCTACCAGCTTAATCTCAGCGTTTCATCGTGAAGTGATCGAGAAGAAACCGGAAGAGTTCAAAATATCTTGCCTCAGCGACATTCAGGCGTTATTCCCCGAGGGCTCCAAGCCGTTTTACGCTGGATACGGAAATCGAATTAACGTAAGTGGGATATTTTGTCAACCACCGTGACTCAAGATGAACAGACTACATAAAGATCATGTTGTGTATGCATAGGACGTTTGGGCATATCGAGCAGTAGGCATTCCTATTATGCGGATCTTCACCATAAATCACCGAGGAGAATTGAAGCACGAACTGACACAGACATTCCAATCTTCGTAAGTGTTGCATTACTTATCGCTCGTTAAGATGAAATAACGAATGTGTGAGATTACTTTTCTGTGAGAAGGAGCACGTACGTAATAACAAAATTTGGAAATTTGGAAACGGGATCGTGTGTATACGCTCGAGTACCGCTCGAGTAGACGTGTGCATTATATTGATTTGAGTGCTGTTTGATTTCTCATGGTCTTGAGATTCTCTTCTACGCTTGCTTTTCTTTTTGCCAATGTAATCTTGCCTATCTCATAATACCTATCTTTTTAAGCAAACCTGCTCTACTAGATGCGCATAGTACTTAGTATCCAGAACAATGTGTAATCTGTTATTTAGTGGGATTACGTTATCTGTAGACGGGAGCTAATTGAGATTAATCGATACCAATTGCAAAATCTTTACCGCATGGCTCACGCGACACTGAATCTCTTACTGCGTAATATATATATATATATATATATATTTTCCTTCGAGCTTCTTCTAAATTAACTCTCCAGAATCCAGAAAGCTTATTAGCCAAACTTTTACGAGCTGTGAATTGTTTATCTCGAGAAAGCTTAAAATAACAAACAAACTAGATACCTTCTTTCGTACGAAACTGTGATAAGTGCTTGAGCACACTAAGGGCATGAAGTTATTGGTGGTTGAGAAGAAAGTACCAGCTCTTTCGCAGAAGGTGATTGATGATAGGTCGGTGATTTCTGTGATTACAGCTACGCGTGTCAGTGCAATATCGTCAATGACTTGTTCCCGCCACAACCCATGCCAAGCGTCTACTGATAGCGGCGCAACCATAGTCGTAGCTTTAACCGGGGCGTGCTAGTTAAATAGATTTGCGAGCGTTCTTTGGAGTAACGCGTAGTAACGGCGACGGTGTCGCCGGTTGCGTTATGCTTGGGACACCGCCCACGCGCAACGCAATCCACGCGCTCTCCACCTTCCACAACAATCGACATAGTACAAAGTCCAGCGTTTCACGCGCCGTGACAAAACTGGCGGAAGAGAAAGCTCGAGTTAATCTTTCGATACGCGCCCAGTTATGGAATTGTTTAGAATACGTAAAATACGCAACTAGTCGCTCTATAGCTCATCACTATACTATGTTTTGGGATATTGTGGGGTTGTGCGACAACTCCTACCTACCTTCTTATGATTTATAGGGTAAGCACTTGTTTGTACCACTCGCTTCTTGTCATCGCTTCGACACGCTTTGGTTGTCAGACATCTTAACATATCTCATCGTCAGGAAACCACTCGCACTCCTCATGTGTTTCTGGGTTGAGAAGGCTTGCTCTCGGCTACTTATACTTTCGTTTTCAGACATTCTCTTCATCCTGAACGGTGCGAGGAGAGGGAGAGTGCAATTCTGCGGAAGAAAGCGTTTGCCTCAAGGCTCTCATATCCGTCCCTTTATTTGCCTGTCATTCGTGATAATCGTTCGAGACCGAGCACTCGAGACACTCACACATTCGCTACTTGATCACTCTCGACTATAAATTCTGGTTCTGCTGTTTCCATATCGTACCATTCCGTACCGACAATCGCAGCTTTATCAGCATCAGTGCTACGCCTCCATCATCTCTCGACTTTCGTTTCGTCTGTGTCGTCTGAATATGACTTGTGTGACTAACGGTGTGCTCATACTCATTTCCTCGCAGTCTGCGTTATGTGCGTACTAAGTCGCATCGAGTTTCACATTCGAATCCACGCGTCGTTGAGCAACATCTCAGTTGACGGAATTCTCATCATTGCGTACGTTTCCACATACCTCGCGGCTTGTGTATCGATTAATAATTCTCTACATAAACGGGTTACGGGACACGCGTACTTTAAACATTCCTGTTCCCACCATTGACGAGCTTATTTGACAAACATTACGACGAAAATGCAGTGTATGCGTGATTATTAATCTTTGTTCTCCCTCTCTGTCTCTCTCTCATTGCAGATATTCGAACATGAGTTTCATCGTCGATCATCTGTTCCCGGCATGGCGTGAGGATGCAGCCGATGAATTCAGCAACTTCGCATACTGGCGGGAGCCGATACCTGAAGTACCGAAACTCGAAGAGCTTTACGCTCAGGCTCAAGCTACCTAGGGAACTCGCTCTACTCCGCAACCAGTCACAATCGCTTGTATTACGAACCATCGTCGTCATATTTAAGCTAACTACTTTTATACCCTGCGCATCGATCGTAGTGGCCTTGACGGGTGCGATTGTCCAGTGTAACGCGTTAGAAGCTTCGAAGAGTGCGAACATTTGTTATTTCAAGTTTATTTGTTCAAGTTACCGTCGGAAGTGAAACTTCTTATTTGAATGGCACTTCGGTGTAGTTCGCCTGGGTTATTTAAGTGACACTTTTGTAAGTACGTATCGCATACACAGGTGATCTAGAGGGTAGAAATGTTTCGAGTTCAATATCTCAACATTCCAGAGTTTACAGCTTCGTTGTACACGCACGCAAGTATAATAGATAGTCCTTGCATCCATATATTAATTGGATCGAATCGCACCAGTCAATGTACACAGCGTGCCTAGTGATTAGATACAAATAAATGCTTCAGATTAACCTAAGCAAATCTTATGCACATGCATACACACACACACACACACACACACACACTTTCTCTCTCTCACATATATACATAAAAAACTTGATAAAGTTCTCAAGCTCTTCTACAAGCGATACTCACCATCGGGTCTCGCTGTTGAATACACTTCGTAAAATTGATGATCAGGTGGAATTTCGTGATCTTGCACACGGCACGATTCATCTGTGTGTTTACAGCGACATTCTCATTGTGCTAAAAAGAGAGAAAGAGAGAGAGAGAGAGAGAGTCTCGCTTATCACCGCACATATACACACACGCATCTTTTATACAAGCAATCTAATTGTTGTCCGCGTACATGCCGTGAATTTTCTACATTGAGTTACGTTGGGATTCTGTTTAGTCTAATTGGTGGTAGAAATATCGTCACGATCATAGAACGTAAGATATGTTAGCAGGAGTATTTATACGTCGCTTACGTTCCCTATTTTTATTCAGAGAATTGTAATTTATTTTTGTATGAGATCTCGATTAAGTTAGCGTGCTGTGAAATTGCCATATTTGGAAGGATATCATTTACCTTGTGATATTTCTGATCAAACTAGGGCTTACAAAGTAGATAATCTGTACAGACGTGGGGATTTCTTTTTGAACGTCAGCGTCAACGTGGTCCCACGAAATGCGAACTTGTCCTATGTTCCGCGTAGGTTGTACGTGATATAATTTTTATTTATTTAATTGTCCTCTCTAATGATGATTTTGTAATGCTACTTCTACCTACTTTCTACCAGCCTTTGTCTTTCGTATTACGTTACCTAAACTACATCATTGACGTATACATTAAGTAGTCGTTTTTTTTTCCTTCTTTTTTGTAGCCTGTGGTTGATTCAAATGTAAAAGTATAGTCTGTGGGTCCGTTCCTCATACTTCTCGAAAGTCATGCCGTTGAAGTAAAATAAAGGTACAATTACATCCAACCAAAGAGGATAGAGTAACATTCGCAATAGATTGTCTTATTAGGTAATAATTAGACTATAAATGTTTATGCAAATGTATCATCTTCTGAAGGGATGGAAAAGTAAAACTAAAACTTAAGCATAATTTATCAGTAGAATACAAATTCTATGTCTGTACGATAAAACAAGCTTCGACCGTTTTAGTTTTATTTTTCTAACTGATTCTTGATCTACATATTTATACAAACATCTGCAGTCCAATGGTGATGCAGCATTCAGTGAAATGCAACGAGATGGAAAAATTACCGTACGAATAGCAGATAGCTTTAAGAGTTTTTGGTTAGCCAAATGTGATCTAGCGCAGGGAAACTGATAAATTAGGAGGAATTTAGGAATTGGATGTTGTATAGATTTTGTATTCCTGTAAAAGGATGCACTTTTGTTTAACAATTATTTTAATGTATAATGTATATATTATGCGAAATAAGGTTATATTGTACATTTGTAATTGTTAAATATTTAATTTGTAGCATATTATATTTTACTCGTTTTGTTATAATTCATTATTTCTAGTACAAATAAATCCAGTCTTTTTGTAATTCTTTTTAGTTCGGTTTATAATATGTTCTTGCATTATATTATCACAACATACTTCTCCTTTGTGACAGTGAGTAAAAAAAAAAAGTTGCCAGTTTTCAATATACAAATTTAAACTTGAAAACTCGGGTTAACATATTGCATAAGGTGAACGTGTTCGTATGATTGGAATTGTTAGACGCGATGTCTACCTACCAAATAAAAGCTAATTTCCTTGCGGTTAGGAGTATTTAATAATTATTTTGTATGATAATATATCGAAATTGGTGTTATGTACGGAATGATGCGGTGTCTATCGATTAACCTTTGTATGTCAATAACGATTACCTGTCTAAGACGATCTCATCCTCTCACGATGTAATATGTTCCATTGGATTCGGTTTACTTAATTCTTGTCTCAGCGGTATTAGCACATTGCTATGCTTCTATATGTAATAAATGTATGACCTGTATCCTTTGGAATCATAATAAAAATCACCAAAATGGCTACTTCATCATAATCGAGCTACAGTCACAATGCAGTGATAATAAAAATTCTATATTGCAAACACGATCAGAGAGATTAAATCATGCTTTATCTCGACATTGCGTCGAAATATATTTTCACATTTTCCGCCGCTGCTTTAAATAAATCTCATGCGCGAAACGCGATAAGTATGTTACAATGACTTGTTGCTGCATCTCGCTCTCACGGATGTTCTACTCGGCCAACGAGTTTTAGTCTGAAACAATGAGTGTTTTGCGGGTCGTATTAAATTCATCGTAACGTTTCTTCATCATGCTTACAATTGAGATTTGAAACATTCAGCAAACCAACATTTCACCAACGGTGTACCTCGTATTTTAATTTCTGCAGCTTTTTTTTCTTTACATCTTCACTGTCTGAAAGCTCTAAAGACTCGATGGAAGATATGCTGTGTTTATTATCGGGATGGAGATCAACTACTTGCGGCGTATTATTACTGATTCGTTTTGGAGATACATCCCAGTACCAATAATATATAGCCTACAAATATCATTTGAAGAATATATTGAATGAAATCATCGGATATAAAAAGATGCAGAAAAATATTTGTTCACTTACCCATAATATACAAATCATCCAAAATATAGTTAAAGCCAGTGGCTCCATACTTTACTCGATCAGTATGAATTTTAATTTACGATATATTTCATGAAATATTATTTCTCACATTTAACACTAAAAATTTTCGTTGACATGTTTAAATTATCGATTATTAGATGCTCGTTTGTCACTTCCTCGATAGCTAATTTAGACAATTTCATGACAAGAATTTATTACATGAATCTCTTAATACACTCAGCCTTGTGAATATACTTTACTGTTGGTAAATTGATAATTGCTCAAAGTTCTCGACTAGCCGTAACGTTTCTACCTTTTCCCACGAGTGTTAATTAATTCCATCATGCTAAACAAAAGTGACATTTTAACAGCTTCATGTTTACGTATGCGTCAGGAAGGAGGATTAATAGAATTTCAATAAAATTTTTATCGTGTACACAATAAAAATAAAATTTTTATTAGTATGTGTAAGACACATCGCGCCTTTGGCGCCACTAGCGCCCTGTTTGCTCACGTTTTTTTCCGATCAGTTTGCCGCGTGCCGTGAGCGTAAATGATTAGGTTAGGTTAGGTTAGAAAGGGTTAAATTCTTCACTCTCATCCAAAGCAGAATATATACAAAATTGAAACTTCCTTTTTTATGATAACCGAGCACAAAGTTCAGTTCATAAAATCTCATAAAGATAAAACGACGAATTAGCTAATTAATTCTTATTATAATCAATACATATAAATTGTGCGTATGAAAATATGAAAAATGTCACAAGCAAAAAATAAATAAATTGAAGAATAATAATGAATAATAAAAAGATGTTGTGAGTTTAGAGTTACTTGTTACATATTACAGTGGTAATGAGCACAAAATATACTGTAATATAATCAGATACAATATAATGCAATGTAATATAATGTATATATAGTAAATATAATGTGTAAAAAATCTGGTTGAATATACAATCTAATCGAATATAATAAAATCTGTTTCAATTTAATACATGTATATATACACGTATGTGTGCAATATAATATATATATATATATATATATATATATATATATATGCTAATGTCGAATAGCTGTTTACCTGTTAAAATAATTAAAAATGGAAAAGGAATAAAATTTCAAGATTCAAGTACAGAATGAAACAGCATCTATTCGATTCTGAGAGTCAAGCGTCTTACCATTTTTGCACAAATTACTACTATTAATAAATATTCCAAATTAAATATACAAGAACTACCCCGATCATTTTCCGGACGATATGATGAACATCTCGAATACTAAGGTATATCGAACGAAACAAAGATCAACATTTTTTTCGATGCAGCTTCGCCATGTTTTGAAGCCTGCATTGGACTCAACAAAGCAAAGGAGTTTTGCGCAAGGCGGTAGGAAAAATGCATTCTTCAAATTATCAGATTTATTAGTCTATTTTGTGCGACGCTTGAATTTCAAACAATCTGTCACTTTAACTTATCTCGCCTATTGTATTCGTCGTCGCAAGCATTCGGGTCACAAATCAAACGGCAGAAATTGTACACGAAAAGTGACACTGTACGTTTACACGGTTAAATCAAGTAACAAACGGGATTTGCGGGATGAATAATAACGCATATGGCATACGATGTTACACAAGATTATATTTCGTAACTTTTTCCCTCCTCTGTCATTCTGCGGTGTTCTTTCGGCGGGCCGGACCCGTTAAAATGTGACAAAATGTTCGTTCGTCATAATGGAATCTCATTTGACTCTTTTCTTTTTTAAACTTATTTTTTCCTCTTTCAGTTTCTCATTTACGCTCTTTACAACGTTCGATCGGCGCGCTTGCAATCCTGTCTCGCCGTCTCGATTGTGAACAGTCTCTCAAATATACCGATCGAATGGGCGCGTACACGCATAATAAATGCGGCTTTCGCAGAGCTACACCGCTCGCAGTGGTGAACCAAAGGGCTCACTTTCCTTCCACACACGCAGGTATACGTACGCACACATACACACACACACACACACACACACACACACACACACACACACACACATGCACACATACACACACTGCACTCTCTCATTTTGTCAACTCTTATCCTTTTTCTCTCGAGAATAACCGAAACAAAAAAGTATTTATAAACAATACGAATCACATATTTGTCGCGTTCTGCCAACAGAAAACAAGGTTTCTCGTGAGCATCGCTTCCCAGTAAACACAGAGTATCATCGATGTTACAATGTCAGCTAAATCATATATGTTACATAACAGTTGCTTTGTTGTATACATAACAAAGTAACAGTTACGTAACATACCATATGATTTAGCTGACATTGTAACATCGATGATACTTTGTGTTTACTGGGTTCTGTACATAGCAAGATTTATAAACATTCATATAGAAAGAAATGTCATGAGTGTCGAACGAAAGAAAGTTAAGTTGCACGGCAATTTGCTAGAAGCGGCTGTAAATTCGCGTGTCTCGGGTTAGAAAATCAAACGACAGTGCGCCGTCTTTGACGGCGAGTTCCAGAAGACCAGAAGCAGGCGTTGCGGGATGCGAGAGAGTGCGATTCTCGCTCGTTCACGTTCGCTACCCAGGAATAGAGGATATTACTCGGGGACGCTCAAGTGAAAACGATATCTTGGAGAAAGAAAAGAAACACGAGCTCGAAGTTCTTTGTAGATCTTGCCGAATACTTCGACACTCCAAACGTGACTAAACGTCAATACTTTGAACCGTCAACAGGCCCCATTAGCAATTAATGAGGTAGTAATAATTTTCAAGTATTCTATATACGATAAGATAAAGACTTTGAACACACTCGTATCTTAACGCATTCACGCCACACGCTCTCTCCGCTTGCCACCGTTCACCCTCTGGTTGCACTAGGCATATGAAAAAGAAAAAGAAGTGCACAACGCCGCTTAGTGTAATCGAAAAAACGAAAACAAGATTAATACAATTTTACCCCGGTAATTGCAAACGGGAGCCGCAGCAGCGAACGTTGTGCAAAGTAACAATCCGCGCGAACGTGACGCTCATCGTCATTACACATACCGTTGCGCGAAACCAAGTTTTTTTTCTTTTTTTAAGTTTAAGGCGAAACTACACACTTGGAATCCGTAAAATATCAGATCGATTTCATCAAGGTACTACTAAAATGAGGATCTCGAGTATACTATATACGCGAGATAAAGCCGAAATATTTCGTGAGTCTTGAAACAGGATCGTCGTTGAGCCACGAAGAAAAGATTGCAGAACATTATTTAGTTAGTTAATTATTGGTCTTCAACTGGCTTCATAATCCGAAAGGTCTTGCGAAATTGCTCACACACGCGTTCGCAACGCAACGCGGGCAGTCTCATTATCCTGCACAACATTCGTTCGCTATAAATGTAGGTACGTATTATATGTACGTATACATACATATATATGTATAAGTGAAATTATAAACTAACATCATCTCGTTTCGTTTAATGTCGCAATAATCGTTAATAATAATATGAATAATTAAAAGTAACTAGGTAACCGATTATGTATACGATAATTATATATAACGACGCGCTCTCGCAATATGTCATTCGAATTTTTATATATTCCTTTCCACGTACATATATATGTGTATACAAATATGTGTGCGACATATCGATATACGAATATATATGTATTGTTATTATTATAATACATGTACATATATATACGTACGTGTATGTGTATGTATGTGTGTGTGTGGGTGTTGTGTGTATGTAGGTGGGTGTGTGTTTGTGTGCTTACATTTGTATAATTACGTTTGTAAAGATATTTACAATTGCAGAAGGGTATGATCATTATTTTGTAGGCACTATGGCTTTGGACGTACACTAAAGTTGTACGTTAGAGTACATCCTTAAGGGACTTCCAGACGAGATAATTTCCCCAGTGTATCCTTGAGCTCTCGAGGAACGAAAGGAGGCAACTCTGCGCGAGTCTCGCTCGATGAAACGTCACCGGCGCCACGCGCGCGCGCGCGCGCGCGACAGAAGTCAAGTGTCCACCGGCAAAAGAACGTCTCTCTGTGAAAACCCCCGCGATCAGGTTCAAAGTAGTACTGCGTACCGAATTGATGGGATCTTAGGTGACGATCGTCAGGACGCCGAGAGTGCGTTGGGCACGCATCTCCACGTTGCAACGTGGACGACACCATCCAAGATCGCATTCGTCTGTCCTGCTCTTGTTTTGAGTTCGTCTCTCCGTGTCCGCGACGTCGAAAAATCGGGAAAAAAGCTATTCTTGCCGTCGAAGTTTGTTTTACATCAGAGAGAACCACTCGATGAAGATTCTCAACTGCTTCTTCTGTTTCACAATTAGCGAAAGCAATTTGGTCGTTGTTTCATGCGGTCTCTCTCTCTCTCTCTCTCTCTCTCTCTCTCTCTCTCTCTCTCTCTCTCTCTCTCTCCTTCATGTACAAGCACACACGCACACACACTCCTTTTTTCTTCTCTTTTTACGATCCCGACGCGAGTACACGCTTTTCTATCACTTAGTACAATTTCTATTATTACAGATTGCACGGATAAAGCGCCTTCGCTTTCTCGCTTTCTGTCCGGAGTCTTCGCGCGATTCATTACGCAAACGTAATCGATGCCGACCGTATCGAGCCGGGAAGCACGTGCCAACAATTTCGTGATATGTTTTTCCTGTGCTTCGCGGTTCAGTTTATCCCGCAAAAAAAAAACTGTGATAAAACAATACTACGAGACATCCCCGAGACGTATAATGCGCGCGTGTAATAAGAGAAAACGTAAAGAACGCGTTAAAATACTTCGGCTTATAGTTCATTCTTTCTCGTAGCATGAACCACGCCATAATGGACCAATCAGTAAAATCATTTACAAACAGGAATATAAACTATCTCGCTTATCGATTAGCTTGTATTTACAATCGTCCGTGGAAATCGAAAGTTTCAGCGCGCGTGCCCCTACCAACCCTCATTCTGCCGTTCTTTCGTTTAACGTTGACCGTACGTAAAACGTGGGGATAAACGTTTGGTTCGAGGAGAAACGATAAAAATAAATAAAAGCGACATCGCATGCCGCGCGATTTATTGACAAGATCGACGCACGCAACGAAAATACCAACTGTCTCCTATCGTGTGCGACGCGAAGGCGCATGACAAATCGGACGAAGCGATTCACAGTCCGTTACAGCACCAGGGAGGCGAACTCAGAGCGACGGTTCAAAGAGACGAAGAGAATGCTCTCTTACGTTGATAACGGCGACATCGATGATATTCCTAGAATTTCAAATCGAACAAGTCCGCGAGACCCTCCTCGTTGCCTAATGAGAACGAGTAGTCGCTCTCGGAAAGCGGCGGTTCCAAAGTCAGCAACTGTTCTCCAAAATCGAACATATCCAGATCTGTAACAGAAGCAAGATCAATGAAAGTGGGGGGACATACGACATGTAGTGCTTACACAGTGTAAAGCACACTTTCTCGTATTCTCTCATGTGCATGCTATATTATTTTCTTATTTTCTTCACTTGGATTAACTTTGCAAAAACTCGAGGAATATAGAACATGATTTTGTAATATTCAAATTGACGTGATAACAATGTGATAATATTGCAACTTCTATGTATTAATTATTCAAAGGGGATGATTAAGAAATACTTAGCGATAATGCGGCACTTTCGACCTACATTCCTATTTATTCCTTTGAATGCGTTACAAAGCATCTTTTATCTTGCTTGCGCGAGAGATCTAAGTCCGCAATATACAGATATACGTTATATAAAGCCTCAGGAGGTACAATTAAGGCGTACTGTTAGTTCTCAGAGTTACGCGTTAAGAGAGCAGGAGTTTGTCAGATATGCCTACAAGCTTCCACATTAAGTAAGTTCCGGGAAAGTGACGAACGCAGCAAAATGCCTCCGTAGTGGACCGAGTCTGGTCGAGGTCGAGTCACGAGAGAGAATTGCTACTCTCCTAATACGACCAAGTCGGATCGCTGCAAAATTCGAGTCGATCGCACTGATTTTCAAGATTCGCGAGCCATGTTCTTTTGTCCTCCCTCCAACATACTAAGCCACACCAAGTATAATGACAAAGAAACGATCGCCGGAAGAAGCGCGCGCCTTACGTTTGCATGTAGTTCACACGGCAATGCTAACGACTGTAACATCACAATAAAATACTAGGGGTGCCAATAGTTAGTTTGTATAAATGAACGTACCTTCGCGCGACACGAGCTTTGCTGTATGAAACCGTTACCTAACTAGAACTCTGCCTGTGATGTGACTTTAATAATATTAACACACAAGTCACAGCCAGAGCTCCATCAGGGTACGGCTATCGTCCATTGGTGAAAAGGCAGAGAAGTGTGTTCAAAGGGCAGGTAGTGCGGCGGATCATAAAGTCACATGGAATCGTATAACTTTCACTACCGTTCCTTTGAACGAGATTTGTCCACGAATGATTTTCAAACTGTAGCATGCAGTACGTCCTTCTCGAGTGTGGAGAAAGAAACAGATGGTAATTGTCATAATCATCTCGATGCAAATTTTCAACCAGAGAAGAACGTACAACTGTTCGGAAGTATCTTTTAGTATCAGGAAAGGCAGGAAAATCTAAATGTAGTTCACAAAAGAAAATAATCAAATAGAATAGGTATTTTACATGAAGAATATAAATTACATAAAGCCTACCGGATGAAGCGCAAGAAATTCTACGCAAATAAAAAAGAACTAAAATAAGAAATGAAAAAGAAATATAAAAAAGAACGTGCAACAGAGTATATTTATTAAAATATCAATATAAAAAAGAAATATTTATATATACATACGCCTGTGTACTTGTTGGAGCAGCTGGCATTTTTTTAATGATATTTTATATAGAATTTTTTTAATAATGTATACCTCGCAGAAACAATATATTTACAAGAGAAGAGAAACGATACGACAAATATAATTTCCCATAAATGTTAAATGTAAACACGGAGGCAGATGATAGTGCGATATGAGGAAGACTTGAGTTGAAAATTAAAGATTTCTCCTCATTTCAGAGCCTCCTTTAAGATAACTTTGCAACGAACGCCATTTCTAACGGATCGATCGTTAGTATGAAACAAAGAATACATAGAAGAAGCCCATATATAGAATGACTGCTTGGAATAAAAAAGAAGCAGAAGTATGAGGCAAGCCAAGCTAGCAATCGATAAAGTTGCTGACGACCCTACCTGAAGGGTTGAGTTGGTCGTCCGTTTGCAGCTGGAACTTGCCACCGCCCATTGGTCCATAATCGTCGGATTCGCAGAGGAACGCGTCCCTCATACTTGGTAAACTGCTAACTGAAGATATGGGGGCACACAGGCGAGCGTTCAGGGGACTATCATCGGAAGGTACTGGTTCGACTCGCACATCGCCATCTCTATTAATCAACAGTTCAGGAGATAAAGAGGCGGGTATGTCGGGTTCTTTTGATTGCGTTGTCGCGTATCCGGAATAGGGTGACGTTTTGACTCCAGGGTCATCGGGACACAGAAACACCTCTATCTCCCCGTGAGACGACCTCATGTGCATCTGAAGCTAGAAGTACAATTGTCACGCTTTAGAACGGAATGTGGCAACATAACTCGCTACATAACTATATCTCACATTTGTCCGGAGCGCGACGTTCGCGCGCGATATGAACGATACATTCTCAGAATTTCGCTCATATTTACCTTTTGTTGGCCAAGATTATTCGTGGGTTGCGGGACATGGAGGGTCGCTTCCGGCGGTGCTTTCACAGCCATAATAGCTTGCTCTTTGTACATTGGGACTGAACGTAAATCGTGATACGTTACATAAGCGTATTTTCTATCTGCGCAAAGTTCGCGTAGGTTCTTGTTCGCACCGTGGATCAATCGATCCAAGGTGTTCTCCTTCGCTTCCAAGTCCGCCACCTCCCTCCTGAGATCGGCGATGTCGTTCCGCTCATTCGGTAACTGACCGCCTCTGCAAAGAAAAAAAAAAGGATATGCGTCCTTAGTGCAAAATCTGTCCGATCTGTCCGTTCGGTGCGCGCTCAGTATTGGCGGATAACGTACTTCCATTGGATATTGTTTTTACTTTTCTTCTCTAAGATACCGATGCCCTCTAAGACATTAGTAATGTCGTATATACGACGCTTTTGTACCTCCAGCTTCTCGGACGCCACGTTCAAGTCCACCACACCGTCCTGACTGCTCTCGATCAAGTGGATAAACTTCTTCGTGAGCAAACTTAACGACGTGTCGTACCGTGTCCTTTCTACGGTTTTACCTGCAATATGCCGGCGGTTCTTCCTTGCGTGAAACATGAAAAATAGGGTGGCAACGTCATAAAGCAAAAACAAAATTTACTTTTGGTGGGCGTGTGACCAGTCAGAGAATTCGAGCCGGATCTTCTGCGTTTACCTCTAGGAGCTTTGAAAGCTGGCTGGCTGGGACCGGTAGTCCCTACCTCCAAATTCAGTCTTCTTTTTACCGCCTGAACTGATATCTGTCAACAATATGCAACCCTCAAGTAATCATTACACAACAATTAATTGTACAATCACTAGTGGTTTAGGAGTAGAAATTGCTGTAGGCAACAGTGTGACTTGTTTTACTACCTCAGCTCGTGGGGGTGGTTGTGGGGGCTTCCTGGTCACTTGATAGGAAGGTGTTTGTCCATACTGGTGGTCTTGTAAGTGAGGACTTGGTGTCTCTTCCACCGACTTCTGGACTTCATCCAAGGACCCATCGTCCAGGAACTCGGATTTCACTATGAAAAGGGATCACCCAAGACAGTCAGTCTGAGAAACTGGGTGTGCCATTACGGTGTGTGATGCGTACAAGCAACACTTCGCTCAAGTCAACTCACACAACTTCGTTTCTGTCATATCCGGTGTAACAGGCCCAGTTGGATCTTCCAGAACCACTTGTCTCCTTACCCGAGGCATTCTGGCAATGTGATTTTGTCTGGAAAACAAAGTGGCAGCCATATGACACCATGTAACTGCCGAGTCTTCAATTCTGTAGTATCAACTGTATCGTAACCAAGAATCGCGAGTTGTTCGGGATATTACAGAGAATCGGGCGAACGTATGTCGAGCGTGCAACGGATTCTACACACAACGAGCAAATCTCAAGCCCCCACGACTCGCGATCAGAGCAGAATCAACTCTCGCTCAGGGTGACGACGGTCGCATCACCCACCACAATCGACGACAGTCACCACATAAGTCACGTCCTCTCCAGCCAGAAAATGACATCACACACACGACGTACAAACCTATTTCTAAACGCACTTCGCATCCTCGACCCTAACCGCTGGCCGCCGCGTGCGTTCGTCGGCATCTTGTCAGCGTGTGGCACGTGCGGCGAGTGTCATTTTTAAATGCCCAAAGCTCTCACAACGGCGGGCGGCTGCTGTCGACGTCGTCTTCGAGAACCAACCCGGTAGTCCGCGTGCGGAGGCGCGATTCCGCGTGCATACGGCACGAGAGAGAGAGAGAGAGAGAGAGAGAGAGAAAGAGAGAGAGAGAGAGAGAGAGCGCGCGGAAATAATAAGGGCGTGCGAGCACCGCGCTAGAGGAGTGCAACTATGTTGCGCGATATTAGCATCTCTGGCGGCGGGCGGTGGAAGGCGGCAATCGGATTGCGCGGCGGCGGCGGTGGCGGCGTCGTGCCGCCTTAAGTCGGACGCGCACGAGAAGCACGCGAGCCCAATGAAAGTGGCCGCGAAAAGCCGGGGAAAAAAGCGACGACGGCGGGAAAAAGAACTAATAAAACGAAAAAGTCCACTACCGCTCTCGGCTTCTCCGGGAAAAGCCGGCCGGAGAGCGCAGAGTAGGCCTTCCGGAAACGCACATGTTCTCCTGGGGACGTCCTGAGGATGAAGAAATATCCCCAGGACGTCCTCAAGACGTACCATGGACGTCCTCTGGACATCTGTGCTATTAGGGCTCTCATCTGCCGGAGATTGTTTTCGTCGGGAATTTGAGAAACAAGAGGAGAAGCGACGATGGATTAAAGCGCGGCCAGACTTCCAATTTCCGATTTTTCAAAAAGCTCTGAGCCTTCGATTCTTGAAAGACTGTGCTTGGCCCGGAAACTCGTTCGAGTTTCACACAAGTATATATCTCGACCATACTAGACATAAGAAAAAAAAAAAAGAAAAAAAAATAAGTCACTGTTCCACAGCTACTCTTCGTTTCTCGAATTCTCAGCGTATCAATCGTCAAGAAAGAGGATCAAAGGAGATTCAGAGAATTCCACGCGATATTCCGACGCCACGTGTTACCTTCCACAGATACTGAGGTCCGGCACGAGACTGGCAAGTACGATTTTCGAAAAATCACCGAAAGCGTACGGAAAAGGTTTCCTGCACTTCCACGTAACAAGCGGCATGCTGGGACGAGGATTCGAGGAAACCGCACAAACTACCGTGGGTTTCGGTTACATCCCGAAGCGTCTGCGGAACTCGGCGAGTGACCGAGCCGACAGCTGATCGGCCGTCGTTATCTTTTAAAAGGCGTGTGGACAATAATGTTTCGTTGATAAGCCTACCGAAGCCGGAGGTCGGAGAGGGGGTCTTAATCAAGATTCGATCGGGACTTTCAATTCCGGCCAACTGTGCAATCGCACGCACACTTATCGCTTTTTCCTTCTCCTGTCTCTCTCTCTCTCTCTCTCTCTCTCTCTCTCTCTCTCTCTCTCTCTCTCTCTCTCTCTCTCTCTCTCTCTCTCGCTCTCTCCCTTTCTTTCTCGAACCGGTCCCAAAAATGAGGCTCGCGCGAATCTCCGCGATAGTAAACACGAGCTCGATTACGCGGACGTGAAAACGGGACTTCTCTGGCGCTCGATAGAAATCATGAACCGGCCGTGCGTGTTAAGTGAGGCGTGCGTGCACACCGATGGAATCGCACGTTCATCAGAGGCTGAAAAATACGAGAAGCACGCTCTCGAAGGTCCACGCCAATGAGACGCAACTTTGCGACGTCGCAGCGATCGCGAGACGCGCGTCCACCAGGTGATTTGGACACGAAGCGATAAACGCGTCCCCGCATGAATCACGCTCTCGGAGTGTGTGTGTGTGTGTGTGTTTTATTAAATTATAATTTCTACAGTATCACCGCGATCACTTAGTTTCCTCAGCAACGAATATCCTTCCCCTCCTGCCTCTCCTTTCCGCGATATAAACTTGAGACACAAATATTCATGTGCTCACGTTGAACTAACACTCGGGCGAAATTTGCAAAGTTCACTGTACGGCCCTCTAACATGCGTCCGCTCTTCCTTTGCTCTACAACAGTGGTTCTCAAGTATCGCTCTCCGATCACAATTTCGAAATAATGAATACAAAATGATCGACGAGGCCACTTATGATTGTCCGTTGCAGCAATTGAGGAAAAAAATTTGATGGATATGGATCGAAGTCTTTGAGAGACGCGATAAGCAAGAACGTCGAGTTATTGTTTCGTCGTTGTGACTGTCTTGGCGAAAGATTTTCACAGACGTTTCCCGTGAAAAAAAAAAGAAAAAATCAGATACTTCTTACAGAGAAAAAGAAAACGGTAGCTTAGCTCCAGAAATGGACAAAGCTCTGACGGCTGCCACGTTTCTCGGGCCTTCCTCGAACACTTACAAAGAATCGAGGATTACAAGATATACAAAGGATCGGCGATCTGCACGTCCAGACAGCCTTCTTCCTTTCTCAGCAAGGGAATTTCTTACGGTGGCAGAAATAATGGCCGGGGAGAACCTTGAGAATCACTGTCCAGAGAGAAGATTCCGATCCGACCAAAGCCCAGCGGCAGGCCGGAGTAATGCCGGCGTAGAATAAAATTGATTTTGTACCTTAGCGACTCATAACGACAGCTCTCTCTCTCTCTCTTTCTCTCTCTCTCTTTCTCCTCCCTCGGCAAGTTTCTCGCGGCGGAAAGCTATTCGTGCTTGGGGATCGCTGCTTCGAAGAAAGTGTCCCGACCGACAAAGCCCATCGACGTCACGTCCGACCGGCGGATCGCTAGAGAACAAACAAATATACAAGGAACAAGGTGAAAAGCACATTCAACGAGAGGAGGAAGCAAGTTAGAAATGCCGAGAGGAGCCAGCCGGCTGAGATAGAAAAACCGAGAGAGACACCCCAGGGGACCCCCGCGTTGCGCCAGCCCTTGTTACGCGCCTGACGAGCGGACCCACGGTGTGTGTGTGCGCCCGAGACCCGGGGAATTTTCGAAAAAAAGAGCAAGCGGGACTAGACGGTCGTTCCGGGTGTGGTTTAAAGAGGCGGCACATAGCCGCCTCTCGTAATATCGCGGGTCTCGAAACGCGCGCCGTACACGGCCGCGCGGCTCGTTACAGCTCGTGGTCCATCTTTTATTAATGAAGAAATCCTCGCGTGACTAATCGCTGTGTGTACCAATCGCTCGACCGTGGAGCGCACGTCGACTCTTTAAAAGTCCGCCGCTCGTCGATGGACCGTTCGCTCGTTCGCGCGAATAATTTCCACCTTCGTCTATCAATCTCCCGATCAATCGGAGGATCCGAGCGGATCGACTGATAAAGTTCGACCGTTCGGATGCAAATCTCTCCCCCCCTCCCTGGACAAGGTGAGCGAGTTTCCAATCGTATACATTATTTAAGCGTTATACAATATATGCAATGGCCACTTTTTCTTCGTCTATCTATCTCTCTCTCTCTCTCTCTCTCTCTCTCTCTCCCCCTCTCTCTCTGTCCCTCTCTTTCTGGCCGCAGCTCGCTAACAAAGTTGCAGCCGCGAGATCAACGGGGTCACGTCGGGCCGCGCTCTGGAATTATTCAATGACATTTCACGAAGACCACGGGTCCACCAGCTTCGTCAACGCGACTCCGGAGATGCGACGATCGCGTACGGACATCCAGGGAGGAAATTTGAGAGCGCGACTCACGCACGTGTTGGTCGACCGGCTCCGACTTGTCCGGTGCCTTCAGCGGAGTACACACAGCCGGCCGGCCTAGCCGGGATCTCCCGAGAGGCACTAAGCACCGTGGGAAGACGAGAGGGTGGCGATTCGCGTTCCCCAAGGTTGGGAGCAGTGCACCGAGCCGCCGCGCCGAAGAAGGAGAGAGAGAGAGAGAGAGAGAAAGAGACTCATCGATTGGTCGGCGGTTATCTAGAAGATAAATGCGGAGAGGCGGCCGAGAGCAGCGCTCGGGCGCAAAAGTAACGGAGCATCGATTGACGAGCGAGCGTCTGCTGCGCCGACCATGTCCGCTCGTCCTCCAAGGACAAGCACGGTTTACACACGGGTCGTCTCTGTGCGCGGACGTCGTCGTCGTCGTCGTCGTTCCGTGACGCGCGACGCCAAGCCCCGGGTTAGGATCGCTCGTTAGGCTGCCCGCGATTGGCTGCCGCCGACGGAGATGAGCCGCGAGCACGTCGGCTCTCGACCGGGCCGTGGAGTCGACGACGCGATACGCGACCTGACGCGACGCTGCTCGCACGTTCCTCGCTCGCGCGACTACTTACTCGAAGCTCACAAGCTACCGACAATCCCGATCCCGACCACCCGTCCTCGTTCCGTGCGCCTCGGCCAGCTACGACGTGGATACTAACGCCGGGTCCCCAGTGCGTCATGGACAGGCAGGAAATGCCGCCGCCGCAGTAGTGACGGCGGCGGCGGCGGCGGCGGCGTCCATGGAACGTGCGCTGTGCGCAAGGCGGCAAAAGAGCGTACGACGTGTCTCCGTCTGTCCCTCGTGCCGCGACTTCCCGGTCGCAATGTCGCTCCATTCGCAATTACGGCGCGAGTACGCAGAATGTGCTCGCGCGCGACCTGTGCACACCTGCCGCGTCCTTCCCCCCGCGCGCCTTCCTTACGCGAGGACGTCGAGTTTTCACTGCCGTTGTGCGGGCTATCTCCGCTCTCGACCGGCTGCTTCCGCTTCATCGAGTCCCTGCGAGCGATTGGCTGCAGCATGCACCGAGAGAGAGAAAGAGAGAGAGATGAGTTCGGAAGCGACAGTCGCCACTCTTCTACTTCGCGTTTCCCGGCCGTCCCGCGGCGAGTCAGCGGAAAACACGCGCGGAGCGCGGAGCCGGCTTCCCGGTCTGACGTAATCAGCGCGATCAGCTGTTAAGCGCGCTCGCCTGGTCGATCGCCGGGGAGTCTCGATTCTCTCTCTTTCCCTCACGCTCGTTCTCGAAGGAGAGAGCGCTATCGATAGTCGGTCATGATGAGCGGCCAATGGCACGCGCGCGACCAGCAAAAACGGAGCCCGCCCATTGGTGGACTTGGCGGAGGCGCTCGCTTCGAGAATCGAAAGCTCGAAAGCCTGCCTCGGCCTTCTCTTCTGCTCTCCGCCTCGCCGAGAGTGTAGGAGTAGCGCAGGGCGATCGAGAAGGGCATTCGCGGGATACTTCGAGATATCGTATCGCGTCACTCTCGCGGCGAGATGAGTAACGAAGAAGCGAGGCCGCGATCTCGTGCACGCGCGCTCTTTTTCTCTTCTCTCTCTCTTTCTCCCTCTTCTTTCTATCTCTTTCTTTCTCGTACGCGCGTACGGACGCACGTTTGCGGTTATGTGAGCGTTCGATTACTCTCTCACACACACACACGCACACAGGGCTGCAGACCGCGCGCGATCACACGTGTGCACGCACACAGCCGTCTACGAGCACCTCGTTTAAAGAGCCAAGACGGCACCGCCGAGTCCCTAGTAAGGCGCGCTACCGGCTAACGTTACAAAGAGGAGCGCGAGACGTGACCGCGCGGCCGTCCACCCGGAAACATCCCGTCGATTTTGACAAACGGCCGGAACGAAACGAAGCCCTCTCCGAAGCGCGACGACTTGACGGAGCCAGCAGGATCGAAAAGTTCCGTGCGAGAAAGAAAGAGAGAAAGAGCAGGCGTGCACTGAACCTGTTCGCGCGTGAAACGGCATTTCGTGGTAGCGCGGGAGCCGCCGCGCGAGAACGAGAGAAGGACGACGAAAACGTGCACGGCGAGGAGGCCGAGCGAGGAAGAGAGACGGAAGTAGAGTAGTGTCGGGCGAAGAGATACGCGCCCGTTTGCACAGTCTCCGTCTCTTTCTACCTCTCCTCTCTCTCTCTCTCTCTCTCTGTCCTATCTTACCACACGCGCGCGCGCGCGCTCGCGCATAATACACACATGCACGCACATACATACAACACACACACTCTCTCTCTCTCTCTCTCTCTCTCTCTCTCTCTGCCTCGCGCTCCTTGGTTTTTTCTACTTACTTGGCTGCTCACGAACGTATGCGCTGCGTCGCGTAGTATTTTGAGACCGGAGGCCCGCGGCTCTCTTCCGGGAGGAGATTCACGAGGCAAGCCAGCACACGGCGCGTGTCACAGGACGTCGGAGCCGGGCATCTCGATCCGGGTATGTCTCCGGGTCGGCGAGATGGCACGACGAGAGCCGCGACGAGTGACAGAACGGCCGGGCTGGGATTTGCCCGGGATGACGACACGACACGACACGACGGCGACGACGACGACGACGACGACGACGACGATAAACGATTGTCTCGACTCGGAACGGGAGCGTACGTTCTCGTCCCTTTCGTCGTCGTGGCCGAGAGTTCCCGCGCGCAGCGCGATCGCGCGATGTTCCTCGTATATTAGTGCGCGCGATCACTCTCTCGCCCTTTCCCTTCGTACGTATGCTCGTTCGCTTGCTCGCTCAACCTCGTCGTCGTAGTAGTCGCGGTCGACGTGGGTCGTTGCGTCGTACTACTATCGTACTCCGCAATTTATACCTCTCTCTCTTTCTCTCTCTCTCTCGCTCTATCGTTTCGCTCTCTCTCTCCCTCTCGTTCTCTCTTCACGTATATTTCTCTCTCTCTCTCTCTCTCTCTCTCTCTCTCTCTCTCTCTCTCTCTCTCCCCTCAATGCCGTCCGTTTCTCCGAAACTGCGCTGTTCTAGAGCACGGTGTCCATTTTCCGAGCGTGGCTGGTTAAATCGCTACGGTTAAAGAGCAGCGACGTGCAGAGCAGACAGGTAGACAGGTAGACGGAGGTGGACAATGCGCGCGGGCGAGCAGACGCCTCTCTCTCTCTCTCTCTCTCTCTCTCTCTCTCTCTCTCTCTCTCTCTCTCTCTCTCTCTCTCTCTCTCTCTCTCTCTCTCCGACGAACAAGCGAGCGAGCGAGCGAGGTCCAGAAAAATACGCGGGATCGAGGATCGTCGTTCACGCGCCGCCGTTCCCGGCTGCTTTTTTTCACTGCGACTCGGGGATGCGGCGTGGCGCGCGCTCGCCTCGCTCTTCACAGCGGCGAGCCCCGCCTCGGCATGATCGACGCTCGGACCAACCGGGCCGGCGTCGTGCAGGAGAAACGAACCTTTTCTTTCTCCGTCTCACTCTCTTTCTCTCTCTCGCTCTCCCTTCCTCCCCGCCCGCCCTGCTCACTCTCTCATACACATATACATACACACACACACACACACACACACACACTCTCTCTCTCTCTCTCTCTCTCTCGCTTTCTTTTTCTCCGTGATCGTCGGGACTTCGTGAGGATCTCCGGACGGCCGGCCAACCGCTCGTTTGTCCGATCTTTCGAGTGGATTAGACCGGATGGACGAAGTTCGAGCTCTCTGTGGCGCGCTGGCACGACTGGCCGGCTCAGCTTGTGCGAGAAATGAATAGTGTCGCGTGCGCCGGTGCTGGCGATACCCGAGGGAGAAAGAGCGAGAGAGAAAGGGAGTCGGAAAGAGAGGGCAAGAGTGAGCGGAGAGCCGCGTGTCCGTGCGTATTCGCGAACATCGAGGGGACCCTCTCTCTCTCTCTCTCGTTCCCTCCCTCTGGGAGAGAAAGAGGAGGAGGTGACCGGCTCTCCGCGACGCCGCCAGCAGCTGTGCGTCGGTGTGTGTACGAGGAGAGACCGCAATGTAGTAACGTCGCGTCGCAGCGCGCCGCGTGTGTACGCCGCCGGCGTAAAGAGAGCGTAGACGTGTGTACGCGCGCAGCGCGGTGGCGCGAGCGACGGTGTTCCCGGCGTCGCAGCGCGCGTGCGCGGACGAGAGACCGCACAGACGGCGCCTCCGATGCCAGCCGTATGCCTAGGTTATGTGCACGCATGTGTGCATGCGTGCGTGTGTACGAGCGCGTCGCCACGAGAGGCGGTGGTGCGAAACGGCACGAGTATGCAAGCGCATCGCGCCGCCGTTCCTCGTCCTCGTGGCGACGCCCGCACCCTGGGCTCTTATTCTCTATCGCAAGGCTAATGACACTGTTGATGCAACTTACGGGAGTATAACGAGTACCGGCGAATGCTGACGAGGCGCGGCCTCGGCGGGGTTCGGCGCGCGTTACAGTTCTTTTCATTCAGGCGCGTCCAACGGCGGCGGCAGGCACTGTCATAGGTCGGCGACGACGGCCCCGGCTGACATGCCACCGGTGTGCCGGGACGGTGCGGCGCTATTCGTCAATACGCGCACCCTCGGTCGCACGGCGGTACTGCCGTCGGCCAGCGGTCGTGCTCGTTGGCGACGCTGCTCGGTCGTGCGTGAGCGTGTCACCGCGCCGACGACGAGAGCAGCAGCAGCAGCAGCAGGAGTAGCGGCGGCGGCGGCGTGTCCGTGAGGCGCGCGCGCGCAAACAGCCGGCGTACCGGCCATCTGCCGGTCGCGCGGCGCAGCTGAATACGCGCGCCAAAACCGCCAAGCCGCGCGCTGCTTCTTCCTCGTGAGCGCCGCCTTGGCTGGGGACTTTGTCAGCCTGTGCTGTCTCCTTCGCCCTTCGGCGTTTCGATCCGGCTTCTACGTGGAGTCGCGACGATGATGATGCACCGGCCTGTCGCCGCCCGGCGAAGCGGCAGCGACGGAAACGACACGGGCGAGAACCGACAACAGCCGGCGACGCTCGTTTGGGCCGTTACGTGGACTAATTAATATTGTTCTTAACGGCGCATCTTGCACACTGACGCGGTCGAGGAGTCTCTCTCTCTCTCGCGAGCGCGGGATCGGTTCGCGCGACGACCGCCTCGCCGAGACGTCTTCGCGACGCGCTCCGCGCAGTTTGCCCGCCAAAAATCGAGGCCGTCCCTCTCACCCGGCCCGACGCCGTTTTGCCACGCAAGCGATACGCGCGTCGCGCCTCAAGGTTCCCCGCGGGCGTTCCTGAGTCTCGCCTCCTGGTCGTCGACGGGTGCGCGACGATGCACGCCGCAGTTCACGCGTTCCCGACACTCCCGCGTTCCTGCGGCACACCATTACCGTACCGGTCCGCCATGCTCACTCGCCAGTCTCTCTCTGTCTCTCTTTCTCGGGGGTGTGTGCGGAGCGCTCGTTCCCGAACAAAGTACGCGTCTCTCTCCCCTTCTCGCTCCCCCCCCCCCTCTCTCTTTCTCTCTCTTTTGTCTATCTGCTGGAGGTTACCCGTTCTCGTCGAGATCAGGTCCCTTTAACCTCTCTGCAACTCGCGCGGTTCAGCCGGCGGCTCAGGTGGGGATCACGGCGACACGGGAGCGGCGTTACGCGAAGCGCGCTCGCGAATTATGCAATTTAGTGACGTATGAATATCGGGGCGGCGAGACGACGACCACACGGGCGCGCGCACGCACGCACGCACGCATCGCACGCTTACGACGAACCTGCCGGACACTGACGCGCTCCTCGCTTCTTGCCTGTTCTCCCGTCCGAAACTAAGCGGGCGGTCGCCGCCGCCGCCGCCGCCGCCGCTTCCTTCGCGACTGAGGTGGGGGGTATTCGACGGCAGGGGCGTAACGGCGAGGCGGGTTCCCCGTGGACACGCCGCGCTGTTCTCTGTCGCCGACAAAATCGATGGACCGCAGACGAGAGGATAAAAATATATATCGCCGGTAAAAGGTCGCATTTTTATTATTTCCGACGGAATCGCCGACGCCGGCGTCGCTTTCCCTCGCAGCCGATGGCGTTTTTATTTCCGCGAGTCATGCCATATAGGCACACGCGAGCTGGGTAACACGGAGTGTATGTACATGACGGATACATCGCGGCTTTAATGAAAATCTGACAATTGTGCGGACTTTGCACAAGTCACGATGTCTGATGAAAGAACGTCATTCCGCGATGTGACGTTCGAAAGAGAAAGAGAAAGGCAGATATAAAGAGGCAGAAATAAAGAGGGGGGAGAGTATGAAAAGCGTAGTGAAAAATATGTACAAAGATCGTGAGATAAAATCGAGCGTGAAATGCTAATCCGGTCAAAAGTGTAAGTGGAAATATGTCAGAGTGATCCACGGCATCGAGCAGGTATGCCAAACACCAAGATACATGACTCATACACACACACACACACACACGTAACCTTGCGCGAGCTAGTTGCACAATGACGATAAAAACTATCTCGACGAGACGTACCGGTATTCCGAGCGAAAACGGACACCTCCCGCGGCTCTCGATGAACGCGTGCGCGCTTCACCAGGTGCCCGTGACGTCTTGACACGCGCCTGAGTCAGGTCACCAAGAAGGGGGCCCGGTGCTTTCTTCGTAACGTATTTATTTGAACCCTACTCAACTACAAAAGAATCGTATCTTCTATGTAGGCCGTAGGGGAGGCCGCACCCTCCCTTCTCGCCCTCCGACGGCCGCGTCCCTCTGCTTCCCTCCAACCCTCTGTAACAGACCAGTCATCCCCACTTGGCCGTTGTCCGAAGGCGCGCGCGCTGCGTGAGGGAACACAGGGAAGCGTGTACGACGGGCAAGGGCCAGGCAGGGCTGGGCCGATGCGCTCGTTATATGTCGACGATGACGAACAGCTCGGGCCGATCCACCCTCGGACGATCGTAGATCTGCATCGCGGAATATGTGATGGCCTTCACCTCGGCTTCCTGCGTGTGTTTGCCGATCCTGAATTCCTCACCCAGTGCGGTCGCCTTGATCTTGAAGGCCTGCCCATCGAATTCCGTAATCTTCACCTTCTGATAACAGAACGCGCAAGAGTTTTATTTCCCTTGTTTCTGTCTCTCTCTCTCTCTCTCTCTCTCTCTTTCTCTCTTTCCTACTTGTTCAAATGGAAGTATATGAAGTCTAAGAAATTATTAGAGACAAAACATTATACATTGACAATGTTGTGCAGATCATGGGGCTATCGCTAGGTTGATCGAGTCCGGATAAGAGAATATATAAATAAAAAAATTCTGTTGGCAACAACAAAGAGCTCTTCGTTTCAGACCTCTCCCTTGCTATTCTTCGGACTCGTAAATTTTCGTGCGATTTCGGGTCTCGATGACATTCTTGCCGATCACTGTTGGAGCAATAGAAAAGCCGTGTTTGCAATTCTTAGAGAAGCCCCCGGGTAAGAGACTGTACCTTAGCGATGAGGAACGGCTCGGCGCAGAACATGTAGAGCAGCTCGTCGAGGAAGCGGAAGAGCAGATTCTCGAGATCGTCACCTTCGCACTCTATGTGATAAGTCTTCTCGATCTGCACGAGACTCAAGTCTGTCATGTAACCGAACATGGCCATGGCGCACTGCTCGAAAGCTTCCTCCATCGTGTCGCCCCATGCGTGTAACCTATGACGCAACGAGATGCAATAACATGTAATAAAGCGGAAGAGAGGAATTTAACATTGCCGCGAGGAGAATTTAACATTGTCGGCGCGCTTTACGCGATTTCACGCACAATTCGATGCGCGTGAAGTCGCGTATTTTTGCTCGCACGTTTTTAGGTTAATCGCTGAACGTTAACCTCCAAAGCCGGCGAGTCAGCGCGCGTTACACGAATTATACGAATGCGAAGCTTACTGTACGTCCGCAGTGTGGTCGAGATCTGCAACAGAAAATGCGAACTTCACTGTGAGTACCGCAGCCGAAGGGACTCGCGCAGAGACATGCGTCGGAAATTGCGCGATGACACCAGATCGATGATCGACGAGAAACTCCCGGGGGCTCGAATAGATCGCGAGAATCAGCGCGAGCAATTACCGCATCCGTGATGACAATGGTGATAATGGTGATAATGGCGCGGTGAAGATACTCACATTCGTATTTAACCGGTGGTATCGCGAGATCCTCTTCCGTGAGACCGTCCATGATCGCGTACACAGCTGACTGCGCCCACGTGAGTAAGCGATCAGCTGATTCACTGACGGGTTCAATCAACGGCGATGCTCGTCCGCGTAGGTCAGTTCACTTCGGTCAGGTGACGCTACCTGCAAGGCTGCCTGCCAGTCTGTCTGCTTGCCGTCTCTTGCCGATACACGTAGCTGTAAAATTTGAGAATAAAATAATCTTTTTCCGTCGAAAAATCACAAGTCTCGCCGTTAAAGCCGGCGGCCAAAATATTCTTTTTTGATGCTGCACGATCTTTTTATTTGCCCGCAGTTACGATCAAACGGCGAGTTAGCGGAGCATTTTATTTTTGAACAGGTCAACGGAGAAGAAAAATAATATTAGATTGAGTAATAAGTAATTTCGTATTTTGCGGGTAGATGGCGCTAAGAGGAAGTGTTTAGTAGAGTACCTCTAGTAAGAGTACAGACACCATTCCTGTGGCAGCCATGTTTGGGTCCAAAAAACCGGAAATTCATCTGTATGCGCGGAATGTTTAAATTCTGCTAAAAGAGATATCAAGCAAGATATTTAAATTTAATTTTGATGACTTATGAAATGACATTTATGTTACTATAGTTGTAAGATAGGACTTGTAAAATTGAAGTAGAAATATAATTGAGTTATTATTTTATATAAAAAATATATTATTCCTACATGATGATAATACAATTTCACAAATAGTAAAGTAATAACTTAATGACATCATATTGACATTGGAGATGTTAAGAAAACGTCATTAAATATAATATAAACAATATTTCTTTCCTTTTCTGGTGCCGTGCAGGAATCGTACTTTCAACCTTCTCCAACGATATTTATAACTGTCAGGCATCCTTATTACTCCATTCTATTTCCTGTAATAAAGAAAGTGTTTCATCTCCCCTTCAGATCTGTTATATTATCTACTTAAAAAATGTTTTCTCCTTTATTTTTAATCTTTCTTAATTCTTTTCTTTTATTAATTTATCGGTATCCAGAGAAAGTTTCTCTTGTTCCTTATTCACCTTTCTTAACAGAAGTTTTCTTTCTTCTACATATTAATTTTAATCTTCTGCAAACAAGATAAGAGTATAAAGCCAGCGGCACACGGTGCTTGTTTTCGTGCTGGATTGCTTGCTGGATGAAAATATTGCGTTGTGATTGGTACATTTCCGAAGATGGATGGAAATGCACCAATCAGAACGCAGTATTTTCATCCAGCAAGCAATCCAGCACGAAAACAAGCACCGTGTGCCGCTGGCTTTAGATACGAACCGTAATATTTTGATTATCTTGATATTACATTGAGTTATCTCGATGTACAATTAATGAAGATTAATTACATACGATATTGACTCTGTATCCAAATGGATGACGTTTAAAGACGTCTTAATCACGTATTATTGACGTCATTAAGTTTTTAGACATTACCCAGGTAGCAAGATGACGTTTTAATGACGTTATAATGACGTTAAAAACGTCTTAATGACGCCATAATGACGTCTTTAAATGTCATCTTGCTACTTGGGTATCTTCATACTTGGGTAATAATGAAGTGGATTCATTGATGATATCTAAATAAAATTTATTAATAATAAATGTTAATAACATTTAGTAATAACGATATGAATAGAAATAGTGTTATATATTAAAACATGTAATAATAACATACCATATGATGATGAAGAATAATAACATACCATATGATGATGAAAAAGATATTGAATATAAAAATAAAGAAATTGTGTATATAATATAACAGACACATAATTATATTGTGTATATATTAACAGACAACATAACATACCTCACACAAACGTGACTTTTTCGGCTGCCAGTTACTTAGACCTATATTTTTAATCCATAATATTTGTATTTCCCTTTCTTGTGGAAAGGAACACGTTTTAATTCCTTTAGTAGATGCACTTTTACAATTTTTGGCAACACATTTTGGCATTTTGATACTATTATAAAGGGCAGATTACTATTATATAACCTATATATCCATATGTTTACACATTGTATTCATTGTTATATATATTATCTAATTTATTTTATAAAGATATTAATTACAATATATAACATACAAAAACTCACTTTTCTTTTAACACACTTTTAATGTCCTATTACCTGTTTCTACTGCCTGTTGCCTGGCATTGTGCACGGATCTTTACTGGAAGTGGACCCAAACATGGCGGAACCAATCAAAACTCTGACATACGGTGTCCTTACTCTTACTAGAGGTACTCTAGTGTTTAGTGCAATCTTCTCTCCGTATCTGACACCTCAGGTCTGTTCTTTTTCGAAGAACTTCTGAACCAGTGTAATAAGTGGAATGACATAGATATATTTTCTCTCATTCTAACTTATTATACTAGTATGCACTAGTTCAAAAGTTCTTCGAAAAAGAACAGACCCTTTATATTGTTTTGAAAGGTTAGGTTTTCCTTACGTATCTTAGGGCCGGTTGCTTCAGCTTCTTGATAAGTTAACTGATAGTTAAATCATATGTTTGTCTTTGTTTTTCTTTCAATTTAAACGAAGACAGACATATGATTTAACTATCAATTAACTTGTCAAGAAGTTGGAACAACCGGCTCTTAAGTTGTTAATTGTCGAAATATATCCAGTAATTTTTATTTGGCGGCATTGTAAACATGGAGCGAAACAAGCGGTATTTTCGGTGTTTGATGCTTTTTTATTTTCGCAAAGGGAAAAATGAGACGCAAACCAAAGAAAAGATATGTGCTGTGCATGGAGAAGATACCATAAGCGAAAGTGAGTGCGAAAACTAGTTTGCGAAATTTCGTGCCGGTGATACGACATGTCAAGATGATAAGCGCTCAAGTAAGCTATTGGTGGTTGATGACGACCAAATCAAGACATTAATTGAAAATAACTCACGTTATACGACACAAGAGATCGCAGAGATAATCAATGTATCTCAAAAGACCGTTATGAACCACTTGCACACGTTTGCTACGTGTCTTAGTACGATATTTGGGTACCTCACAATTTGAGTGAAAATCATTTGATGGACCGCATCTCCATCTGCGATTTATTGCTCAAATGCAATAAAAACGTTCCATTTTTAAGACTGATGATAACGGGTAAGGAAAAGTGGATTGTGTATAATAATGTAGAGCACAAAAGATTGTTGGGAAAACGAGATATAGCGTTGCAAACCACATAGAAACAAAATATCCATATGTAAAAAGTCATACTGTGTATTTGGTGGGATTGGAAAGGAATCGTGTACTATGAGCTGCTTCCGCAAAACCAAACAATTTATTCCAACAAGTATTATTTCCAATTGGACTCTTTGAAGGCAGCAATCGATGAGAAGCATCCAGAATTAAGCAATTATGATATCATATTCCACCAAGACAACAATAGTCCTCATGTATCTTTGGCAATCTGGCAAAAATTATTGCAGTTTGGCTGGGATACCTTGCCTCATCCCCCATATTCACCTGATTCAGTACCGTTAAACTTTCACTTATTCAGATCTCTGCAAAATTTACTCAATAAAAAAAATTTTACTTTGGAGACCTGCAGGAAACATCTTGAGCAATTTTTCACTCAGAAAACTGGGAAGTTCTGGGTGGATGGAATCTTTAATTTGCTTGAAAAAATGGCGAAAAGTTATCAAACAAAACGGTGCATATATTGTTCATTAAAGGTATTTTTTTAATACAAAAATATTGTGTTTGAATTTCATCTAAAAATACAAAATTACTTTTTACTTAACCTAATAATACAACATCTATGTAATTTCTTATGTATACCATTATAATTGACAAGTAGACTTTAAAAGGTAAAGTAAAGATCAAAATTTTTTGAGCTTACTAAATGGAATTTGGTTTAATTGCACTTTCATTTGGGACTTCAAAGATGCAGAATGTTAAATTATGTAAATTACGAAAATCAATTACTTCTCTCGATGTTTCCACTACGAATAAACCGCCTCAATATTATCGAAGGAAGCTTTTGTTATAAATCAGTGCGATAGGAATAAAATATCCAGTGCGTGTATAAACGAGTCTACATATTTTTATATCTGTTGCTTTCAAGTAAGTGACATTACAGCATAATCCAGACAGAACAGAAAATCATGATGATGTCAAAATTATGAGAAAAACTCATTTTTTTATCATAGTTCGGTCATTTTTCCGTCATTTTGATGTTATCAATGTTATGTTCTACTTTTCGGGAATTTTCGTGTTTATTTAAATGCGGCAAGGAAGTAATAAAAAGAAATATTCCCATGTTGGCCTGTTAAGGGAATGGATCTAGTAAACCCCTCTAAACTTCTTATTGGCTCGTTAAAATAACAGGCTTAATAAATAATGTACTTCTAATAAAATACTTCTAAAGCCAGCGACACACGGTGCTTGTTTTCGTGCTGGATTGCTTGCTGGATGAAAATACTGCGTTCTGATTGGTGCATTTCCATCCATCTTCGGAAATGTACCAATCACAACGCAATATTTTCATCCAACAAGCAATCCAGCACAAAAACAAGCACCGTGTGCCGCTGGCTTTATTGAACCGCCAAAATAACGGGACAATATTCTTATATCCCTTATTTCATCCAGTTGTTAAGTGGTTCAAGTCTTAGCTAAATTTTACAGAGGCCGGTAAATTGGGGTTCGAGTATCGACTAATTTATATATCGGCAATAATGTTGCCCGTTATTTTGATAGACCAATAAGAATTCTGTGGTATTCATTAGTTATCCTTTTATGCTGTTTTTTATGTTTTATGGTATCATTTTAACAGGCCAATAAGGGGTTTACAGGATTATCAGACTCGTTATTTCGTTTAAATTATAATGTTTACAAATGACATAGATTTGTCATAAAAATGTCATAAAAATATTAGTTTGTAAAAAATCGAGTTGAATCGCTTTCGAATTCAAACTCGTGCCATTTGAGAATGGTATTAGATTTTTGAAGAGACACGTAAGATATTACTAGCTAGGAACTCTAGAAAGCGCATTCTCCTATTGGATACTGAATTATCGTTGGAAATCGGATGTAGTGTGAATTCTGCATAAATCCTGCATTATGGAACTTTTCATTCGACGATTGGCATTTGGAGGAGGAAGCTGGGATATTCACTAGTCAGAACCACAAGGAAGAAGGACTTTCCATTCTATTCAATTCTCTTGGGTTTTCTTTTCAGTTCTTGATATACTGTGTGCGTATTGTGAATACGCGAGATTGCGTATTTATTAGTAAGTATTGTTTAATATGATTCATTTCGCAAATAAATAATAGATACACTCTATGGAATATTGCGTCAGGTTGTCGTATGATTATTTATCTTCCTGTATTTCATTTAATATCGGATGATTCGAACGGATTACCGTCATCATTTTCATATGGTATACGCCGGAGAAACAATGAGAAAATAAATTTATTAAATCATACAGCTTCAAAATATTGTCAGTTACATCGTAACTGATGTTTAAGCCGATTTTTAAAAGAATATGATTTGGATGATTTTGGACAGCTAATTTTTGTCAATGTCTCTCGCGTATAACCTTCAAGTGCTTCGTCAAGTAATCTCCGAGAACACGTGAATTGTAATTTTAATTATAAACAAGGATTCCAAACTGTTTCTTCCTTTTGTTGTAAAAACTGTTTACATATATTGCTAATCGTGTTATTTGCTGTTCGGTGTTTTGTAGAAATGACGAGTAAAGCGAAAGTACCCAAGATGAAAGAACGCACTCCAGAGGACGCCCCTTTGAAGAAGAGGCCGTTCAAACGTCATGGACGATTGTATGCGAAAGCGATCTTTACTGGATACAAACGTGGATTGCGCAATCAACACGAACACACTGCACTGCTAAAAATTGAAGGAGCCGATACAAAACAGGATTCCAATTTTTATGTAGGAAAACGATGTGTGTATGTGTACAAGGTAAAGTTCTCCCTGTGCAGATAATATATTTTTTTCGCATTTACAAGGCAGTAACAAGATCTGCTTTGGTGTTTTGCCTTGACAATAATAAATTTAGTACTTTTTACAACAAAGATACTCAAATGTTTGCAAGAATGCAAGTAAAGAATTATAGACGAGGATAATTATTTGGCCAGTGGATAACATTTTTTACTGAATACAATAAAGACCAATTTAAAAAGAATTCTTTTTCACTGACTTGATGTAATGATTGTGATGCAATATTTATTCATTAATTCTTTAATATTTTTTTCCATATATTTGTATAAACATTGATAGTTTAGGAACTGTATTAAAAAATGATTTTAGGCCAAGAATAAGACACCTGTACCCGAAAATACAACAAGAAAAACTAAGGTTAGAGCTATTTGGGGCAAAGTTACTCGGCCCCACGGTGCCAGTGGATCAGTACGGGCAAAGTTCAAGAGGAATTTACCAGCCAAGGCTATGGGCCATCGTATCAGGATCGTAAGTTTTATTAAGTTAAAGTACCAGTGTCGATACATGTATACAGACGTTCATCATTGAAATTCAAATCTTTTATTGTTACAGATGCTGTATCCTAGTCGAATTTAAATATTCTTGTATAATATCATCAAATAAATATCATTTTATTAAAATCTACATTATTTTATTTTGTGCAAGATCCATTATTTATCTTTAATACTGTATGATGCAATAAGTGGATGCTACAAAGACCATTAACCATATGTTGATCCATGGTTATCTTATATTGTTGGTTACACATTAAATATAATATAGTTATCACATTAAACTTTATCATTTAGTTATATACTAAGTAAGTTTAATATAGTACAATTGTAATTTCGGATTTGTTAAGATCATTCCCTTAGGAAAAAATACTTTAAATGTTTAAAGTAACTAAAGATTACTTATAGTTAACTGTAAGTAATTTATAGTTAACTATAAGTAACTTTAGGTAACTATAAGTAACTTCGAGTTAATTTGAACATTTTAAAGTAATTTTTCCTAAGAGTTTGGTCGCAAACCAAATTGGTCGAACGCGGTATATTATTCGGCCCATACGTCACGAAAAAATACGCGGTAATGCATTAGCTAGCAGTTGCAGGATATGGGCAAGAGCACAGGCTTTTGCATAACGCATAAGAGAATAAACCAATCAGAGTTCTTCATTTCTGTCCTGAGGAGGGAAATGAAGAAAACTAATTGATTTATTCCCTTATGTGTTATATATTATGTGTTATGCAAAAGCCTGTGCTCTTGCCCTATCGCGTTGAGTATATAGATATTTGTACGCGTGCGCATTGTTATATTTATCCTTATTCTGACATGAAAGCGTAACCTAACATAACCTTAAATGTAAATACTGTGCTATTCGTATAGCATCGCGCCTTTTAAAAAGTTCCACTGTCAAGTCGCGAGGAGGTGTCACAAAATATGAGCCACTGCACTATTAGAGGCACGTCGTGATTTCTTATATTAATCGGAATTTCTAAAACACGGAGCCATCTTCGTTTGAGTTACGCGTGGGTTTGAATAACGCCTAGTTGGAAAATTTCTACGTCAGTCACGGTGCGCGATCGTTCATGAATGAGTTTTGCGTATTGTAGAAAAGCAGTGAATCATCAATAGACTCCGACAGAAATAACTCTGAACGAGAGAGAACGATCGTTTCTCTCCTGTGTGGTCGTTGTGAATTATGATGCCATATTCGTCCTTCTGAAAGGAGTCTCATCCGGACGGCAAGCGCGAACGATGTTTTGCTGTCTGAGAAATTGTTTCGACGGCCTCGGTTTCGCCACGGCTCAAGCACCGCAGCGAGAACGAAATCCCATCGCCTTAGACACATCCCACATGGGTAACTATCATCGGAGACAAGTGTTAAATGCGCTTTGTACCAATTTGACGTGACGCGACGCTAATACGTTTAACTCATTTGTGTCATTAGGAAACTTGGAACATATGATTGAAATATATCACTGAATCTGCATAATATTGCAGGAAACATTCGCTAATATCCCTTGTAAATTACTGAGATCATTATTTCTATAGGTTTTATCAAAATACATTCCGATATATTCTAACAACTCTTATTCATGTTTATTCTTTAATCAATTTGTGCAATGCATATTGGATAATGTGTTTTGATTATCAAAGAAACTGAATAAAGGCTCGCATCAGAATATCGTTAATCATTTTGGCATTTTGGGGAAGGCAGGAAAGGGGATTTCTAATTTATATTCCAGACATCTCACATAAATTGATTTTTCTTACGTATCATGGATTTAATGGCTTCCTTGTATTCAATGCTAAAATGTTATGCTTTTTATGTATCTATGCTTTTACATAAATTATGTAAAGATATTTTAATTGTAAGATATAATTCTTATGTGCATTTTTATACAGGAAACGAGGTAGTGATAGTAAAAAATGGTCTAAGAATATGCGGTAGTGGTGGTGCCTTAACGAATGCCCCTCTTGTTCAGAGCAAGAGTTATTTTGAAGTAAAGATTCAACAAGGTGGTATATGGGGTATTGGACTGGCCAGGAGAGCTGCGGATCTCAATGCTTCTGTAGGAGGAAAAGACTCAGAAAGTTGGGCTCTTAATTCGGATGGTATCCTAAGACACAACGAGCAAGAGTTACACAAAATACAACAACCTGTACAGGAAGGGGATGTCATTGTGAGAATCATTGTTATTTAATTTTAGTAACCTAAAAAATTAAGGCTTCTGGACGAAAATTTAAGAGATGATACAACCATAATTTGCGCTGTGATTGATATTTTCTTTGAAAATAATTAGAGATTCACTTTCCCAGGGAATATCCTATGATCATGTTGAATTGAATTTTTACGTGAACGGAGTATCCATGAATGCTCCAGTTATTGGTATAAAGGGACGGGTTTATCCAGTTTTATATGGTAAGCATTTTGTATCTGAATAAATACATGTAATAAACACGTATCACACACCGTTTGCGATAATTGTTTAAACAGTAATATTTTAACTTACAGTGGACGATGGAGCCATTCTAGACTTAATACTGGACAATTTCGTCCATGCTCCGCCAATGGGTTTCGAGAAAATAATGCTGGAACAATCATTGCTCTAGCAGAATGGAAGTAAGATCGTTAATGTATCGTCAAAGCTGACATTTTTCGTCCATTTCGACTTTAATTGAATATTGGAACCAAACTAACAATAAATTGAAGAAGCAGGTCATTAAGGCATTAGTATTAAGAAATAACGTCACAAAATATAAATTCGTCATAATAATCGTATGATGACACATGAATATACTTAATTGTGAGGAATGTGAAATAAACGATTTGCCTAATATGTGAATCTATTTTTCGATCTACACTCTACAGAGAACACATTCATGTAATAAGTAGATTTTACATAATTAGCTGAGAATTCTTCGAGTTTTTTTTTAATTAATTAAAATTAAAGGGTTTATGACATATTAATCGCTCGAATGTGTGATTTAAATTCAGCTCTATTCTGATCTGTTCTATCATACAATATAACTATATACTTTTGTTTGTATAATTGTATAATAATAGATATAATATATTCATAAATATGTGTGTACAATTCGTGTAATATATATAATATATATGTATATATATATATATATTGTATATACATATATATATATACGTATGTATGCATTGTATACATAATGATTTATTGATCCTTAGATGACTGATGGTATGATATATACACTGGCTTAAATAAGGTACCGACGGCTTTAGGCCTATTGTTCGCTTCATTAGGCTAGTGTCATGGCATTTCATGAACTATCTTTGTTTATAGTTCCTCTCTCTTATGATGAATATTGTATTAAACGTTAAAGCTAATGTCTCGCTCTGCCTAATATATACCGAAAACTCACTTCTATTTTTACATCATCGATCGTGTGAATCTTTAACAATTCAGTTTCGCGTATATATACGCGTACATGAAATAAATACGCGTACATGAAATAAATACATTTCTTCCGACATTACCGAACGCACGAAATTTTAATATATTCTTAGAAAAGATGTAAAGGGAATTCGTTATCGTAATATAATCTAACCAACAAATCTTGTGCTTACTAATTTTTGTGCTCACTAATTTTTTTCTCTGATATAAGAATCGATCACAGTCAAATAAGCGCCTTTTATTGCAATAAGACGACGATTAAATAAAATGCACGTTAAACTAAATATTTTGCGCTTATCGACGACGCAATGAGCTTTTTATCTGATGATGTGTATCAAAAGTTCCTTATTCTCTGAATATTTGCTGAAACATATTAAATCTTTGGTCCTTAATATTAGCTTTAAACAATTAGTATTAATAGTGTATTACGCACTTACATATTTATACTATATAAATATCATTCCATTGTGAAACAATGTAATTTCGTTAATATAATATCATATTAACTTACACGTTATTATTTGCCATAATGAAAGTATGCTGAACGTAACGTTGTTTATATTCAATGATTGGTTATTTAAATACACAATTTATGGCACTCTGTATTTTTCCTATATGTAAACTTATACATAGATATATATATATATCTCTTTTCTGTATTCATCCAAAAGATCTTCAAGTATCTTTAAGAGAGCCCTTGCCATTTTTGTATGCTTCAGTTGTTAGCTATGCATATGTATAACTGTGACAGCTATATGTTACATTTATTTTATGACTGGATGATATGAGATATTTATATAATGGTAACCCATCGAGTCTTATTGCACTTGCAACTTCTGTTGCTTGGTGAGTGAGTACTATCTGTATTAAGATAGCATGACTGACTTTGTAATCTACGGTCAATGTGATCACTGTCTAACGTATTATGTTGTTCAATCAAACTATATAGGCCCGCAATTAAATAACTTAAATAACTTCACAAAATCATTCCTGTAAGAAGAACATTTTTCACCCAATGCAATTTAATGATCTCTGATGACGCTGTAAACACTCTTCTGGAGCAAGATAATATTATGATTAGTGAACAGTATAGCATTTCGTATTACATATATCTCGAATGTAGTAGGGCCGTTGATTATAATTTCTCGAGCAATATTCAGATCAATAATGGAAAAGTACTTTCCTCCCGTTCTTGAAAATTTCCATCGGAAATATACGTATACATCAATTTCTCTATGTAGCTTACTATATCTTATTATTTAAACTATACAAATCGTTTCTTTTTTTTGTAAAACTAACGCGAGCTCGTCTCAAATATGCTGCAAATAATTCGATTAAAAAATATATATATATACTTTCAGAGATATATATACATTTACAAAAGTAAGTCAAAACCTATGCACCTTTTAATTACAACGTGCTACCGATATAAAAAATTGTATAACGCATAAAATATCTACCAAACCTTGAAATATTAATATAATATCCCTATTTCTTGGCTTCTCGTCCTAAAACATAGTCTGCAAACTAACTTGAGATCCCTCACATATTCTCTTTTTGCCTCTTTTAATCAAAACTATAATTTACTTTTTTTAATATAATTAGCATATTTGTGCAATAATTAGTGGCGTCTGTTGTATATATGTCTCTCATTAATACATTTTATATAAATTTAGTAATGCATCTGACATAAATTAAACTAATTATTATTAATCATAATTATTTAGTGTTTTTGCATATTATTACAAGTACTTCTCCTGACTTGTGCTCAGTGTTGATGAAATTTGCATGTCTCATGAGCTGTTTTAGAAAGAAGCCTATGCTTACTTTGTGTGTAATAGTAAGTTCCAATTACATTTCACATCACATTTAGAAATAAATTCTATTATTAAATTAGATTAACGTAACAATAAAAATTATATTCAACACATATGTGTAACAAATCAATAGCTTTTAAGAAAAAAGTACAAACTTTATGAAAATTCTCAAAAATTCATAAATAAGTGCATAAAAATATAAAATAATAAAAGATTGGCGATATTATCAATTTGTGTTCAAAATATCTTCCGTATATTCTTTTCCTAAAATTATCATTTTTACATATATATATATATATATATATATATATTATATATATCTTTTTTCTTTTTTTAATTGAGAAATATAAGTTTATAATTCTATCAACATGTTATAACCCTGTTATAACACTGTAATAACACTGTTTAAATCCCTGTGTGAATTCCTACGTTAAACGGAAATAGATATATGTGTCATAAAAAAAGATATAAAATTCTTAAACGACAAAAATATACATACAAAGTAATTGGAGGAAAATCATTATTTGGCGCATATGGCAATTACTCAGTTTGTGAATAATATTAATATATATTAAAAGAAAAAAAAAAAAAAGAAAAAAATAAATTAGCACAACTTTATGACTATTCGTATAATTAGAAGCTAATAAAAGATATGTTACTTATATATGGAAGAACCTTCATAGAGTTTGCAAATATGTTTCATGAATTATAGAAAATTTCTGTGATTATTACATAACAATTTTTACACGCTTTTAGTTTACTGACAGAGTACCTAGGAATCACACCAAGGTTCTCGGAGCTCTCTTTGGTCTTGTCCAAGTACACTCGTTTGCACGCACTATTTCTAATGAAATTAGAGGCACATCAAATGGTCGCGATTATGACCACTGCTACTCGCGACGAGTTTGTGCGGTAATCGATTATGTTGGGAGTGGAAGTGCTAATATACGAGACGTTCGTCGTTACAACTGCAACGGAGGATTCAAGTAAAACGTAAGTACAATCGATTATCATGCAAGTCTGTGAGCAGTCGCTCGCAAATCGTGACCATTTGATGCGCTCTTAATTTGATCGGGAAAACTGTACGCATATTACCGTTATGCAAACGAGTGTACGTTTCTGTGCTTTTGGTAAATTTCACGCAGACAACTACGCATCGGTTACGGCAAAGCATCTCGTTGTTCCGAAGCTATTTGCCCGAGATATTCAGATCCAGAATAACGCTACTCGTTACCGTGGTGACGAATGCGAAGTGTCGAGATAAGGATTATGTCGGTGATATACTTACACTTCATTCGTTATCCGTGGTATCTTCAATGACAGAATCCCAGTTAAATTCTGTGGCGCTTTGCCTCGACGGTAATTCACCAAGGTGTTGAAATCGTTGTACGAAGTAGGGATCACGATCTCTAAGCCGTTTAAATCTTTGAAAGGCGAGATTCTTTGCGAACTCGTAGAGTTCCAGGTCCAGGTTGTTGAGTCTACGTACGGCGTCTAATTGCTCCGTGCTGAGGGTTGCCATCGTAGCTGCGCTGAGCGTAGCATTGTGCTGCTCGAAAGCAACCGCGAAACGCATTCCAAACGTTTCTTCGAAGGAATATTGTCCCACCTGCGTGATTCAATATTTCGTTAGTGTACAAATGTGAAATTAAATGTATTGGAATATATTGAACTAAAATCAAAGAGCTCGATTCAATTCATAGTAATTTTTTTATTTTCTGCAACAAAGATGTGCAAGTACTGGTAGAATTATAGATAACAACAAGTGATTATTTGATATAATCTTATTCAATATAATCAGGTAAAATTTTATTTAAAAATCATGCAAAATTTTTCGATTGACTTAATATTTATTATAATTTTGCAATATTTTAAATATTTTATGTTTTAATTATTGCATTCCCTAATATCTTCATGATCGAAAACACAAATAGGTAAAGCTTATATGACATCATACTTGGTTTTCATGTTAACAATTGTTGGAATAATGTCGATAATAATTTTCGTATGAACTGTTGTAGTGTTATACAATTGGATGTTTAAAGTGTCAAGTATCTCCGGACTATCTGGTCAGAGATCAAGGATAACTGCTTCAACTCATCGATAGCAAACAAAAAAATAATGAGAGGTATCTATGATATGATGTAAAAAGGTTACGTGACGTATGTCATTAAAAAATTTAACATATTATCTAGAGTACTGAGCATCATTTTACTCAAAGACGTTCGAGCACATAAAATTTAATGCAAAATATATGAGATATATCAAATATAAATAAATTACAAAAGAGATATATCTTTTTTAATAACTTCTAATTATATATCGAACATAATATAATACAGCTGCGATAAAACTATAATAAATTCAGAATGGTAATGACTAATTTGTGAGAGGAGCCTATTGCTCCCATATGTTGGTAGGGAAGTTCTCATAAATATTTACGTTAAGACGTCTATTCTTAAGCGGTCAAGCCACGAACGTGACGTATAAGAACAACAACTTCATACAGTTTAAAATATTTGCAGTGGAAACTGCAATGCCGTTAAATTTGTGCCTATTCAATGCATTATTCTTTGTATAATATAAGAGTAATTTTGTGAAATTAGTTTGTATACTTGATTAATTGTATCACAACAACTTTTTAGTTAATGAAAAAATATGTTTATACAGAACACACATCTTCATGTAAGTTCTTTGTTATGTATAATATTGTATATTATACAATATTCTAATAAATGTAATCTACATTAAAGCAATAATAATAGAATTAATAATTAGAGCAAAGGAAGAACGACAATAATAATGAGAAAAATGTATTTAAATAGATTACATACCTTCTGATACTCGGTCAACATGAAAAAAGGCATAAACTGCAAATTGTGCTTAGCACTGGCCAACATTAGACGATCTCTGTCAGCACTGCTGAGAGTGGAATTGTAACAGCCGACTATTGATAGGTCTGCCAGCATTCTGGTCTGACGATTATTCGCCAAGTTGTAAGAACACGCCATAAACTGCAAATATACAGTTTCACGTCAAGTCAAGTGCCAATTTCATTTTTCATCCACATTAATATATTTTTACATTTGATTTCTATCAATGCATTAAACAAAATTCGGTTTCCCCTTGCTTGCCTTGATAACAGCAAGTCAATACAATGCATTTATTATGAAAGAGGGCACGATGAAGTTATCTGACAGGAAATAGCTACACATGAAGTGAGATAGGGTGGTCTTAGACATGAGTAAATTCTTATCTCAACAGTTATTTCTAGACGTAGAATATATGCAGATATACTACCGTAATCCATATACATGGTAGAAGATTGCATCAAAAACAAGCAAAACCGGCTAAGCGATTGGCAGAAAAAGAAACGCGCAAAAAGATTACACGTGTACTTCTGGATAATGTATAGTATAATTACCTGTTCTAAGGTGACACCTTGCCAGCTGGGCCCGTTGTAACACTGAGGTATATTCGCTTGAGTACCTCCGCACCAATGACGAGCGCCTCTCCACGTAGCGCCTCTTTGCACATGTCTGAATTCGGAGAGATACCTCGCGACGGGATCCCTTATAATAGTTATGTAAAAGTAACGTCGCTTGATGCCTTCACCTTCGATCTTGTTAAGCTCCGTATCCACACAACTCGTTAATTCGGTCCAGTCCGCGTGCAGACCGCACTTCCAGCCAGTGGAATACCGTGAAAACAGCCAATTTTCGTTACGGTTTGGACGGAAACAGAAGCAACGCTTGCGTCGTCGTTGACACGAGCAGGGTCTTTGCAGATCTAGATCTCGCACCAGATGTTTTCCAAATAGTGTCCCACCTTGAAGCAAAATAGAAATTACATTAGTAGTTTTACAATGGATATACATTGTTCGCTCTTACTTAGACAAAAAAGAACAGATTTTCTCGTGTGTTCTATGCTTTGTGTGTCTCTGACATATTCACCAATCTCTTTATTCCTGCAATTCAATAATTATTTTTTGTTATATATAGTAATGTGTTTGTGCTCTGTAATCCTTTACTAAGCTTGTCTTTGAAACTGAAGCATATGGCAAGTGTATTATAACGAGCTGCACTTTTACAAAGGAAAATTTATGAATGCAAGGAGAAAGAAGACAAAGAGAGGATGCAAACACACAGCATACTAAATAACTGCACATCCCTGAATTATTCCCTTTCTCTCTTTCTTTCTAAGACAGAGCCTGCAGGTTTGAGAATGCGTGATGAATAATGCAATAATTCAAGCACACAATGGCCAGAGAGGAAGTATCATTTCTTTATTGTTTTACTCTTGTCTAAGCATTCACTGAGGATGTATTTTGGTACAAAATGATATATGTGTTTGAAGCATTTTATCTCTCATCAGGAATTTACCTTGGAGTCAACAAACAACATTCTTATAATTCTCTAAAATATATGTCTTTCCAGAATTCATTGCATTATGAATATGAATTTTTGTTAAGTTTTATGTTAGGAAAACTGATAAAAAAATGTTAATACTTTAACAACAATATATCATTCTAACTGTAGTATACTAGAACACTACAGGCGCGCACTCTATTTAGCTTTTATACTATATTAAAAAGAACACAACATTTGCACAATAAAAAAATAACTGCGGTTCGAATATGTAAATTTTAAAGTCAATCAGTTCAGAACTCAAAAAGTTGCAAAATCTCGTGAAGTTTAATCACGGTTTACAACGAACTGTCAAAATGCACGACAGTGCATGTGCAGTGAAGTAAGACACGACGCGACAACCAATCAACATCGTGGAAAACAGGCTTCAACAACAATTTTGATACAAATTCGATACATTTGATTACATGCCTTTTTTAAAATTCTTTTAGAAAAGATGTTTTTGGTAAAATATGAAAGGTACTTTTGTGTGCACGCTAAAATTAAAACATATTTTAAAAACATGAATAATTTTAATACAGTGGTAAAATATAGATCGCATTGAAATCCGAGTAAAAAATAATTTCTAAACTGTTTTTAACACATACAAAAAGAATTCATATACGAGCGAGAGAAAGGACACAATTCATCAAAACCAAAGTCACTAGATCCTAAACTTGTGCAAACACCATGAGTGAGAACTTTTGCAAGACAGTTTATTCCCAAGTGATCAATAACTTGTCCAAAGTCTCAAGAATCGATTAACAAATAAGATTATTTATATAAAAGTGGACCTTCGCTCACGATAAACGCAAAACAACCTACCCTAGTAACGAGGTACTCACCAGTCTTCTGTATATGCAAAAACACCATGACGTCGTGAGCATTGATATCAAACTGGAAAGTGTCGTTGGCGAAAACATCGTCGTAGCCGAGGCTGCCTTGGACGCTCTGAAGCTTGAACGCGGGATGAACCGACATCAGACCGTTCCTGTCGACCTCGATGGATACGGAAGACAGACCGGAGCCAACAGGCGACAGCAGGCCCTCGGACAATCTGACGGACTCCTTAATCTCGCGGTTGGTCAAGGCGCACACATGATCCGGGCAGAAATAGCCCAGGTAGATGATTCCGCTGAGCGCCAGCAGCAGGCATACCCCGACGACGCTACGCAAACGGGTCCTGCGCGGCCGCGACTCCATCGTCGCCGACCTCCTCTCGTCGCATAAGTCCTCCGGCACGAGCAGAGCGAGTTCGCTAACGTCTGCCGATCCGTCGGCACCCGCTGCTCGTCTGCCTGTTGGCATCGCGCCCCATGTCTCGCGCGTTCACGGCTTCTTGGGCACCAGTGGACGACGTAAACGCGTAGCGCAACGTTCGTCCGACACGACGACTCGATCGTAACTACGCTCGCGTCGAGCGTCGGCCATGACAGATACTCTGCTCTCCGCTCTCCTCACCGCTTTCATGCGCTTCGACTCCCTGCCAGACTGCCACTCTCCTCGAGATATATAGGCGCTCGAATAATGTCGTCGTCGCTGTCGCCGTCGCCGTCGCCGTCGCCGTCGTCGCCGTGTGCTTAGATAGCGTTGGCTGGCGCGCGTTTTGTACCGCAACACACGATCGTGCTCGTACGACGCACAGTGATTCTCATCGCGCTTGAAAGCATCGCCCTTCTTATGTCTGTAGCGCCCATGCGAAAAAGAGAACAGGGCAATTTCATTGGGATTTGGCATATTTTTCAAGGTATCGAGTATCATCAACAGGGGAAAGCAGTAGGCTGTTGAGGAGTTTTTGCCACACTGTCGCTCAGATACGGTAAACGTAAATCATGAGTGCTATTGGTCGCGTACATCGCAACGTTATTTCTGAGCGAATAATGTTCACGATTTACGTTTATCATGTATCTGAGAGACAGCTGCTGCAAAAATTGTCTATTGAGAATCCGAATCACGGTTGAAATGATCCGGGTCGTATATTTGGTCGCGTTGAATCTTCAAATTAATCTTAAATTCACAGCTTGAAATTCAAATTCGAAATTTTGAAGCCGCGAATGAGCTTCGAGCACGCTATAGTGATGAAGAATCTCATTGGTGTGTCAACGAAAGTATCGTGTGCAACACTACGGTATCTCGTGAAGTACTCGGCATTTGTTTCAATAATCGGCATAATTCACGCGAATCGCCATAGTTCACGCGATGGGGAGCGGAAACGGACGGCTGCATGTGTTTCTCGTTAAAAAGCTTATTTTCCTGTGGCGTCGGTTGCATTGCAGAACGAATGCGAGAAGCAGACCGGGAATGCAAAACGAAGTAAGTACGAAACGCAGCTTCGAGCAAGTAGAAGCAAAAGCGACCAAAAGGAATCCGATGTGCGAAATTTAATACCTGAGATATCCAATACTCCCGAAAATGGCGGTTACTATTTTTTACCGCCATTCTCCCTCCGTTTCCAACACACAGGCGTCCATCGATAATATATAGCTATGAATGCTGAATATATGGGTAAAAAGAATAATTCATTAAAATATAACGTACTTGATAAACAGTTTTATTTTTATTAATTTCTCGGATTTCTTGCATTTCGCGAATAACTAAAGTAGATGAACAAGAATTCGGTCATGTTGATATGGATTTTTGCTTTCAACCCATACAGCACAGGCAATTGCAGCAATACTGCTGCAATGTTGCAACATTGCACATTGCAGTACAATATTGCAGAGACATTGCAAAAACAATATTTTGCATTATTATATATCTGCAATGTTGTAGCAACATTTCAAATTACTGGTTATTATTAAAAAATTTATACGAGATATTGCTAAATGGAAGAGGATGTTTTCGTTTCTCTCGCTTAGCTCGCTTAGCCCCTATGGAGTTGGTATATTACAATTATGGGACACTTTGTACATTGCTCTAATTCTCATATATAATCACCAATTACATTTAATCACTACGATTTGGTTTTACAAATGATTTTTACAATGATTTAGTTTCATACCCCAAACTTAGACGTTATATTAATTCAAGAATAGTTACCGCAAGTCTTTAAGACCTGTATTATTCCAAATAGCAAAGTGACATCTTATTGACGTTCTTTTGAGTCAATAAAACGGTGTCTTTTTAAGATATCATTTTACTCTTTGAAATATTACAGATTTTGGGAACTTTCTGTGACTATTCTTTGATCTGTTCTTTGTAGCTGCACTGCTGAACTGGTGCAATAAGCTAGAACGAGAAAACCTATATTTGTATCACTTTAACTTATTGCACCAGTTCAACAGTGCAGCTACAAAGAACAGACCACTTGTTTGATGTCAGAAATGAAAAAAATGGTATATTAATCTTTTTTCTTTCATGTACATTAAAATAAAAGAGATTTCCATAAAACGACACTTTATGATCGATTTTACAAATTTGTAAAATGTTCTGAACACTTTTCTTTTGCTGTATGATAATCATTTACTGTAAATAATTAGTGAAATTTATACAAATGTTGAGTTGAACATATTATCTCTCATGATTATTGTTACAGAATTTTTATGGAAAGTTATTGATTGTCACAACAAGAAGAAAGTGTGTCCAGAACATTTTATAAATTTGTTAGATCGATCACAAATATTATTCTCTGGAATGTATCTATATAACTAAAACAATTTTTGGCATACGATCTTTCGCTTCTGCCATTATTAAATAAATACTCACAGAGAGTCTCCAGGAGAGATTCTCAATATACAGGGTGAAGAAAAAACCACGGGACCCTGAAAATTTCGAAAAATATACACTTTATAAAAAATGTTTCAGACAAGAGTTGTAGCGTTGAGAAAAATCTATTTACCGATCTTAACAATTTGACCTTGGGTGGCGTCATCAAGGTCAGGACAAGGTCACCTCGAATTTTTTAAATGAAACCCCTAATTTTTTATTGCATATTCTTATAGCCCTTCTTCAGACCTTTTCAATGCACTATGGTTTTATCCAATTTGAATAAGCTGTTCCGAAGTTATCGGGTTTTTTAAAGTAAGATATCTAGCCAACTAAGGCAAGATCGGAGGATGATCCGGCCAACTAAGGCAAGGTCGGAGTGATCGAGCCAACTAAGACAAGATCGGAGGATGATCCAGCCAACTCGTAAAAATAATTGCGCGACTAACTTCCAGGCGTTGGCTCCTATTGGCTTGTCTTAATTTCGTTGATTCATTTATTTCAGTTATTTATTTATTTGAACTATTCTGCTGTTCGATGTTTATTTCTTCCATTTACTCATTTAATACTCATTACAGTTTAATGAATCGCAAACTCGACTGAAATTCCTCTATTTTTTTGAAAATTATTAAGAAACAGTTTGAAGCTAGTTGTAAGCTGACTTAATTGCACTTCATTCCGTGCTCATTATTATTCTTCAGCACTGTCTTTAGAATAACTTTGAATTGATCCAAATATTAATTTAGTCGATTAGACTAAATCTTACCACTTCTGCTTGTCAATATGGCAAGTCTTTCAAAACGAGAACGCATATCTCTTTTGATGATGAGAGGATGGGATGATCGACTAAGGTCGTATAATGATGTGAGGCAGTTTTAATGAAACTTTTCGTAATCAGGGTAATGCCATTTCAAAATCTACCGTTGAAAGAACGATAAGGCGTTTTCAGCAAACTGGAAGTGTGAAAAATCGTGCAATACCAGGTAGGCCAGTATCAGCAACAAGTGTAGAAAAATCATTAGATGTTCTACAATCCTTTATCGAAAATCCGCATGATTCAACCCGCAAAGTAGGACAGCAACATGAAATAGATCAAATGTCTGTGCTTAAAATATTGAAAATGAATAAATTTCATCCTTATAAGATCCACCTTGTACAAGAGCTAAATGAAGATGATTTTGATAGGCGCATTGAATTTTATGATTTGATGATGGAAAAAATAGCCGAAGATCCTAACTATCTATCAAATGTAGTATTTTCAGATGAGGCAACATTTCAGTTAAATGGCCACGTTAATCGACACAATTGTAGATTTTGGTCAGATACAAATCTTTACTGGATTGAAAAAACAAACACGCAGTATCCACAAAAAATGAATGTTTGGGTAGGCATTTTGAATAATGGTCTCATAGGTCCACTCTTTATTGACGGAAATCTAACAGCGATAAAATATGAGAATATGCTAAGAAACGAAATAGTTCCAGCGATACAAGCAATCATGGATGACAACTTCGAGCATACATGGTTCCAACAAGATGGTGCCCCCCCCACATTACGAAAGGGACGTCCGTAATTATCTGGACACAGTGTTTCCTCATCGATGGATAGGTAGAAGAGGACCTATAGAATGGCCTCCTCGATCACCCGATTTATCACCTAACGATTACTTCCTGTGGGGCCATTTAAAAGATAGAGTTTACAAAACGAAACCACAAAATTTGGATGACTTACGAAATCGAATTCTTGATGAAGCTGCTCTCATCCCTGCTGATTACATTCAAAAAGCCGTTTCATCTTTTTACGATAGATTAGCTTATTGTCAAACTGTTGATGGCGGACATTTTGAACAATTATTTTAAAGCTTTCCAATATTGCCTTAGTTGGCCGGACAACTCCCGACCTTGCCTTAGTTGGCCGGATCATTCTCCGATCTTGCCTTAGTTGGCTGGATCATCCTCCGATCTTGCCTTAGTTGGCCGGATCATCCTCCGATCTTGCCTTAGTTGGCTAGATATCTTACTTTAAAAAACTCGATAACTTCGAAACAGCTTATTCAAATTGGATAAAACCATAGTGCTTTGAAAAGGCCTGAAGAAAGGCTATAAGAATATGTAATAAAAAATTGGGGGTTCCATTAAAAAAATCCGAGGTGATCTTGTCCTGACCTTGATGACGCCACCCAAGGTCAAATTGTTAAAATCGGTAAATAGATCTTTTTCAACGCTACAACTTTTGTCTGAAACATTTTTTTATAAAGTGTATATTTTTCGAAATTTTCAGGGGTCCCGTGGTTTTTTCTTCACCCTGTATATACAGAGTGTTAAACAGCATCTGTACCAAAGCTGGTATATATACCCAGACAGCACACGAATGTCCATTGGACGTCCGTTATATGTCCATTTTTTTTACAAAAGACGTTCATAGGACGTACGTTTGTCACAACTTCGGACATAGGACTTCCGATGGACGTACATCGGACATCCTACAGGTCCGATGTCCAATAAGGACATCCTTGTTACGTCCAATTTATGTCCACGGACGTAAATCGGACATACGAACATAAATTGGACGTGAAACGTACATCCACTGGATGTTCGGTGCTGTTTGGGTAGCTAGAATAGAATCAACCATGTGAAATTTTGAGATATTAATGATAAAAAATTTCTATCAAGAGAAAAAATTCTACCAATTTCTACTCTTGGTCGAAATTTTTTATCGTTAATATTTCAAAATTTCACGTAGTTAATTAAAAAAAAACATTGATTCCATTACTAACCATGAATTCTAGCTACGAGGATAGTCCCAGAAGTATCCGACCTGACGTATAAATGGCGGTTGTTGTTTGAAAGGAACGACTATTGGTCTGTTCTTTGTAGCTGCACTGCTGAACTGGTGCAATAAGCTAGAATGAAAAAACCTATATTTGTCTCACTTTAACTTATTGCAC